CACACACACACACACACACACACACACACACACACACACGGTATGTGAACATCTGGAACAAAAAAAAAACATGAAAGAGTCCAAAAGTTTTTGCCTACAACATGGCTTGGCTTTAATAATAATAATAATAATAATAATAATAAAACAGTTGTCACATAAGATATTAGGGTATTCTTGAATTTTTTATGTTTGCCCAACAATAAAGTTGACAAAAGATGTCAATTTATCTTCCCAGAGGGAGTCCATAGACTTGACCATATTATGTTCCGATCTGCCATGGTCCGCCATGAATAGTAGCACATCAAAGTAAAAGAGAACAATAAAACTGTATAGGTTGTCACTTTGAAGTTTGTAAATGTCTTTCAAATTTCTGAATCGCTTGGTTGTAAAAAATGGACTCAGTCAAAATATGCTTATGGGTGATGTAGGCAAGGGTTAAAAAATGCATGAAAAATGGTTATTATTTTTATGTTATTGGGGAATATAAAGTTACCTATTTTAGAAGCCTTTATTTGTTTGAATTGATAAAATTGCCTGAAGGGATAGAACATTATGGGAACTCTCCAGTCATATAATACATGGGGTTTGCTAATATTTAATTTAAAAAGGTACAAGGAAATTGAAAACTGTTGCAACAATTGAGTCCTGATAAGGGTTTTATGGATCATGTCTATGCCATTAGAAATGCTGAAAGAAGATTTTGCATTATTTGTTTGAAAGAGGAAGTATCTTGATTATGCCATTACCTGAATAAATAGTATTTAATAGAATTTGCAGAAATGGAATGGATACTTGAAAATGGTATGCATATAGATGGAAGATATCTGATCATTCTTTTATCATTTATGTGGGTTTTTGTTGATATAGACTTATAGCAAAATATTTACAAAAAAAAAAAAAAAAAAAAAAAAACAATGAAAATATTTGTGTTGAAAAAATGTTGACTGTCTGGGGTGTTTTAACAAAAATGACTAAGACTTGAAACCTACCTTTTTGCTCCACATGGGGTTTTGATTGTGTAGTAGCACATTTGTGTTTAGCAAAAAAAGCAAGTTAGAGAAAGTGTATAGCAACTAAGGGTGCATTCCCAATGAAGGTATTATACTAGGTTGATCCAACTTTGTGGGGACTCTTGCTGAATGCAATCAGATTAACTGAAAGACCTGGGCCCCATAACTCGAAAGCATCGTGCATTGCGACCAAGCGCAAGCGTCTTGATTATATAACTTGCCCATACTCACCCCATATAATACATTGTAGCCTCTATGTGATATCGCTATTCGCAATACGCGATGCTTTCGAGTTATGGAGCCCTGCCTCTTCAAGCAGCTTCTGGGTGATTATCTTAAGTGTGCGTGTTAGGTCGCACCCAAAACTCGGTAAAAAAAGTTTCCAGACGCCAAGTGCACATGAAAGCTTATCATAAAACAATAATTTCTGATTCTTTGGGAAGGCACCCTTAGACTGTTTAAACTTTAGTAGAGATGCGATCTAAATGCAAAATAACTTAGACCCCATTTCCATAGATTTTAGATCGATCTATCCCCGTGGGGAGTCTCACTAGATTACTGTTAGCTTAGCCGGCTTAAGCGTTTGTCCCGCCTACTGAAAGCTGTAAGGGGTAATTAACTATGGTGCGCGCTCGGCTGACTGCAGTTTAGCGTGAACCCCCAGGGAGTTAGGTCGATCTAAATCTTAATCTCTGGATCGATCTAAATCTCTGGGAATACACCCTTACTGGGTTCACAAACCGTATCTTTTTGTTTTTCATTAGTAATACAGCTATTGTTATTAAAGAACTGAAATTAATTGAATCTTTCAATTGACAGCTTTAACCATTCTCAGACGTTCCCCGATAACAATAGTCATAATACAACTGAAAAACACAATGCCTGATTACGTGATAAAAAACAATTAAATTTCATATCAAACTACAAATAGGGAAATCTGTTTCAACAGTGGCAGGAGGAAAAAAAACGGGCAATCGTTTTCAGATTTGTCCAGTTTTATTGCCGATAAGGGACATATTATATCAGGACAAATGGGAAAGTAACCACCAAATGGCCTTCCAATCAGTAAGACAAGGTCCCTGTGTTTTGGCATGCTTGTTAAGGTAACCTTGGATTTGGAACAACACAGATATGAACAGTGAATGGCACTGAAAGCATCAGAAGGCAATTTGAAGATACTTCCGAGTCGTGTTCCAATACAGGTATTAAGACAAGGGGTGCTTTTCTTATTGCATTTGCAGGTGATTTCAGGTTTAAGTTGGTCCCGGTGGAAACTGAGGCGTAAAAAATTGAGTGTTTGTACTAGCTGTCCAAGGGAGCCTTCCCAGAAAGGTGATTTTTGTAAGATTAGTAATGAATTGCCAAAAAAGAAAAAGGAATCATTAAAGTTCTTATTTTGGTAGGAAAACTGGAGTATCTTGATAAAAAATGTTGGTAATTAAATAATTGTGCTGGCCAGACAATGGGTTTATGAAGGAATTCTAACTGCTGTGGTCAGTTTAGGTGAATTCCAGCATTGGTAGGTGGGCGAAGGGACATATTTTAAAATTGTCACCATACTAGGTCAAGTGAGAAAATGGTGAACCGTTATCTGTTGATAAGCCATTGCTGTAAAAGAGTTGAGCGACAAGGAAGTTGGTTTCAAACAGTGGTGTGATCGAGGTATTTGTGATTTGAATGGTGGGCTTAAGATCTCTCTCTCTCTCTCTCTCTCTCTTTCTCTCTTAAATACAAAGACAGTTATTAGAAATGATTTACTTCTTTTAGAAATAGGAACAGTACTATTTTGTAATTTTCTGGATTGTAATTTATGGCAGCATTCAAAGATCAGTCTCAAGGTAATATTTAGATTATATTATTATTATAATACTTAAATCACATCATTATTAAATAATCAGGCAACCCGTGACTAGGATAAATGCATTTACAAATTTAAGAAACAGACACATTTATATATATATTTAAAACCTGCACATTGCTTGTTTGCAATATGTGCGTGGCTATTATATATCTTTTTAATCCTGATTCGTTCTTATCTCCCTGGGGAGAATACAACCACAGTTTCAGCATATGGAATTATCATTCACAGTAAAGAGCACTACCTTATGACCAAGGTCAAATCCAGGTCAAGGTCATTGGCTTATTTGACCTTGACCTAAAACGTGTTCAGAAGTGTTTGCACTCTGGTGTACAGTTTAGACCTAGCGGTTGCAGTACCAATATCTTTCAGAAGTAACGATTCTTTTTTATTTCATTGAAACTTATCCCTTGTCAGTCAGGCATGTTTCCTTTACTTAAGTAGGCTTCACTGAAGACTTAGAGGAGTAAAAGTCATACAAATAGGGTTGTGAATGGAAAAAGCAAAGGTTTCATGCCTCTCATGTTCTTGTGACATTTGGAGAAGTATCTCATTGGTATTTTAGAGTGAAGTACTATGCTGATTTGAAGGAGCATTTGTAAAAGGGCTGTTTCTGTAAATACTGTCGATGTTTGGAGTGTCAGAGAGTTGTAGATCATAACACGCATTATGAATGGCTCTTTCTGAGTACTTGCGTGTGTTTTTCTGTGAATGATTTCTCCTGTGAGCTCTCACATTTAAAACTAATTGCACGGTTATGATGTATGAGGCTTCAGGTTGGCAGATTAAAAGTACAGAGTGAGAGATCAGGCTGCGGAGTATAGATAGCAACTGTGCCTCAGTGATTTATTTCTTGTGTGTGTGTGTGTGTGTGTGTGTGTGTGTGTGTGTGTGTGTGTGAGAGAGAGAGAGAGAGAGAGGACCAACTTATGAAGGGAGAGGTATGAAAAAAAGTGCAAAAAAAAAAAAAAACTACACTCGACTAAATTGAAAGTTGATTGTTTCAATTGTGTGCGAGGGAAATTTTATGATATATAGAAGTTTATTATCACATAAAATAGACTTGCAAGGCAGATTGTAAAAGTAATAACTTGTCTATTTTTTGATGATAAAACATGAAAGCAATCTATAGTATGCCTTTGATCATATGTCTAAAGAAAGATATGTTTTAAGATAGTCTGTACGTTATAAAATGGTTAATTGTGAAAAAAAAAAAAAATGAAAATATTCAATTTTTCTTTGTAGGTTTCCTTGGTCTCAATGGATCCGACTTTGGAGAGCTCTTTTTTGTTTGGAGTCTGGACGGTGTACAGTTTAGACAAGACAACATCAGCGCCTTGGAAAATGAAACATTTGTCCTGCCAATCATCCACACATTCAGTCAACCAGGGTGGACGTGGCTTGGTAAGAATCTCAGAAAAAACAAACAAACAAACAAACCAGGAAATGCACCTTTTAATTGGTTAATTTACTTGTATCCTCTAGTATTTCTTCTTCTGTCAGACAGAAATTAAGACATGCTGAGTCAAGAAGGCAATTTATCAGGGGCGGATCCAGAGATATTTTCTGACGGTCTTCCAAATTATCTTTGTTGAACCATCCTCCATTTTTGACTGTCTTCCAACAGAAAAAATTTAGATGCCTGTCATTGTAAACTGAAAAAATACTGTCCTGGGAAGACCCAGAAGATGACTTCTGTTTGCCTCTGATTATCTCCATGTAACAGTACCACATAAATTGATTTTGCAGGTTAATAAATTGCTCGCATACTGTTATTACCAACCACAGTCTCCTTCAACATGTGTCTGGTACAAACAGCACAAAGCCCTGTATTATGACAATTGTGGGATTATATTCAAACATGGCGTCATTCCTGCCATTGGACTGGTGTGGGCGCAATCACACCAGCAGCAAGTTGGATGGAAGTTTGTTTGTGCCATCAAACTTTCAGTCAGTTGTATATCGTGATTCACCAAAAGAGCATGTGACTTACTTAAGAGCACCTAACTTGTATTTGTGGTTGTTGCAGTAAACTCAAGTTAGACACCCCTGTAGTTGAGGTGCAACACGTGGACACATATCAAAATTTGAAAATGAATTAGTTGGTCTCTAGGAATCTTGAGCTATAGTCACCTATAAGTGTAACTCTGTTGATGATAGTTAAACCTCGAGACATGCGACTTTTTGTCCCGCCAGTCACTTATAGTTGATTACAAAGTCAGTTTGATAACAGCTTTCTTTTGAAACATCACATTTAATATTAAGTCAACAATTTTGAGCCATAGACTTCATAATTTAGATGCTTTAAGAATGAATTGAAGTTATTTAAGTTAAGTGCAAACAAACCCTTAATAGAACACGTACTAATCAGAAGGCCCCCTTCAAGATAAGTCCCCGCACGCTTCTTAAATTAGGAAGTATGTTCTTTTATCACACTCAGTATCCAGGGTCTAGATTTGTCCAACATGAGACAGTCACCATGTCCCCCGCCTGGTTTGCTTATTCTAGTTCTTTTTATAGCTCTTCAAAGTGTATGTCAATATATAATACTTGAGATTAAATTTAATAATGAAGTCTGTTGTTGTATATGTTAGTTGGTTGGTGGGGGAGGGAGGTAATTTCATCTTCTTCTTTATGTTTCATTACCGATGCGATGTTTCAAGAACGTTGATATTTTGCCAGAGGTTTCTGTTTCTCACTGTTGACCAAAGTTGTCTTGTTGAAAATTCAAAATCATCAAGTAAGGTCTTTTGTTGTCTGCCATGGTGGGCACTTTTGCCAAGTATTCTACCACTATGGCTAATTAAATAAGATTCTTCAGTACCTCTTTTCTGGTGGAATGAAATGGTCATTTGATAAGTTATGCTAAATAGATGAAATAGGGTTTTATTTCTTTTATGATTTTGACAAAATTTTTTTAATGAGCCCACTTGGTCACAATGATCCTCAAACCATCAGAAATTGGTGATAAGAACAAAAAATAAATATTTTTTTTAATCTTAAGCTGAATACGAATATTTCTAATCATTGTTGAAATTTTTCCTTGCTGATAGAAAAGCAAAGGTAAAGTGGCAGCCGACTTCTTGACTGATGACATTTTTGCCACCTAGTGATGCAGCTATACACTGAAAACAAGTAAATTGATTCTTGTCGTTAAAGTGAAATTAATTTTTATTGCGATCCTGAAGGTGCCTACGGGCAACAGATACTGGAGAAGTCTATTGGAATGTGGTGCAGGTTATCTTACAAACAGGATACTGAGATTTTTTTTGGAGCAACAGAATTTTATCAATAACAAAATTATTTTCATGGTATAAAAAGCAGTTAAGTAATTTTGAGCCTTTGCCAGTATTTTTGTGAACATTTAAAGAATGATATGCAAAATCAGATATGAATTGATGGTTATGCTTGGTTAAAGATCAACATCAATATAGAAAGTAGGGATTTTTTTTTCATCAGTAATCTATTGGCATTGAGACGTTGGTCCCTTGCTTTCTAGCCTTCAAACGATATATCTTACCTTTTGATGAAGAATTCAAGAATTCATCATCTAGGAATTTCTATTTTTTCATCTTAAGAGGGTCTGTTTTCACCTGGGAATAGCTTACTAGTCTAAACATTGACAAAATTACATCATGTTATAACTCTAAGCAGATAACAAAAATCCAAATAGCTCTTAAACATCAAATGTTTATTACTACGGTTACTTGATCACATTAAATACCCCCATTTAGTCCAATTTTTGGGAGGTCCCAACTTGGTTACCCTTGTGAACACACCTGAAGGCGTATAGTACGATGTTGTATGTGTTAACATTGTATCGCTATGGAGATATAATTAAAGGGCGTGGACCATCTTTGTACATTATTACAGAACAATGGGACTGAGTGGTAGCACAGTTATGAGTAGCGTAAAACAATTGCGTTTGGCACCATGGGTGTAAAAATGACAGATACACTTCATGACTACAGACAAAGAGAAAAAAAAATCTAAACTATTTTAGATATGAGCTTGTAGGGAATGGTCTAATGTACAGTTTGTGGGATATTTATGCTCTTAATTTGTGTCTTTGATAATATTTAAAAATCTTGTGTAATGTGTATTTTGGCATAATAGTGATAGCCGTAAACATATATGAATGTAGAGTCACATTGTGTACATTGCAGCAGATCTTATCAAAGCTGTCAGGAATGTTGATCGAGTGTTATTTTAACGCATTTTGATATGCATTTCTAGAGAGATTGAATTTGATCAGAGTGGTTTATTTTAGGAAGAGAAAATAAAATATATTTTATTATTTTTCTCAAAGTTCTGTTTTTTGGATTTGAGCAGAGTGATTTAGTTTTAAGAAGATCAAAACATTTTTTTTTTCACAGTCTTGATAGATTTTGGCTCAGAGTCTTATCTTGGATATTTTTGGCTATTGATTATGTTTGTATGGGTCACCTCACTTTTCAGTTTCTGTAGTTGAAATGTTCCAAATTTATATAATAACCTTCCTGTATCATATCGCAGTTTGGCATTATTAAAAATGCCAAACATTCTTTCACGTCCCTATTTGCACACAAGCACAATCGAGACTTTTCTGCTACAATTTAATCACTCCAGAATCTTGGAGTGTCACAGATAATCTGAAATATTTGTCTCTTCTCTGATAAACAACCCCAAGTTGATGCCTCTAATCGCTAAATCCCAAACAAAACCTCAAGTCCCCAATATCAGAAACAGCAACGTTGTAGTTTCATAATCGCTAAAACCCAAAGTACGTGGTGTTTGCCATTTTTCGGGTTATTAGAGCTCGGTTTTTATTGATTTTCTTTTTGTATTTAACCTGCGTTCAGGGGAAGCAGTGGAATGGCTTAAATTACTGTTCTCGCTGAAGGAGCTGAGAGCTGTTGCTTAAGTAACTGAGAAATTTGGTGGCTAAGCTTTGGTTGCTTGCAGGGTCAATGTTTGTGTGCCTGCAGTAACTGGAGGTGAAATGTTCTTTAAGGTCTTTTTTTTTACTCGATGCTTATCCAAACTTTACCTTCCTTTTTTTTTTCTTTTTCCTTCTCCTCCCCCCCCCCCCCATTTTTGAATTGTGGAGACAAATTTCTTATTTTTTAGTGAATGGATTTTATTCCCGGGTGTTTAACGTAAATGCACAGCAGATGTGTTTGAGATTGGTATTATGAACCGTAACACTGTTTTATTAATTTATGTTCATCAAATAAGTTTAAAAATTACATCACTGTTATAAGTTTATGTTCATCAAGTTACTATTATGAATTATAGCATTGTTTTGTTAAACTCAATTTTTATTTTTTCATTTGATTTGTATGTATGCATTACAAAGCATCTTCTGCAGAATGTAATGTCACAGGTTAACAGTGGGCACAAGAGACCATAGTCCCATAAAAAAATTTGATAGTTTAATTAAATAAAAACTGTCCAAACTAGATAAGGAATCATGACAAAATTAACATCACTAAAATGTTATTAACATCCTCGGTTAGGTTAATTTTGATAAAGAGGGAAGTTTTTATAAGGGCAGTTGACCTGTAAAACAGAGTCTGGCATGTCGTACATCAGATGTGATAGAAGTTACACACGTCCATATCACAAAGTAAATTGTACGTATCGCAGCCTTATCGTGTTGTGGGTGACGGATTCTCACCCAAGTGGCCCTCTATCTGGTGGTGGTTTGAGGATTTAAGTATGGCACATGGTAATTATTCCCACAATTTGAGCAAAATTGATATAAATTATCAAAGAAAAATTTTTGTTAGAAGTTTTTGAAAATGATGATGCAAAATATAGGAAAATCCTTTTGTGTCATATTGTAAGATATGTTAGTTGTGAGGAGCTAAAAATGATGACCGATTTTTAAAAAATTAATAGAATTATTAAAAAGATAAAAAATGAAGCATTTCAAACCATGAGGTGTGTGAAATTTGAGAGTAATTACCATAGATCTGTTCACTGTGACGTCATTCGTGGGCTAGTCTGCCCTCTGGCTGGCAACTTGGGCACATGTGGTGAGAACTTCCTTTCCATCAGATCTAAAAATTGCTGGAAAATGTTTCCAATTATTAACAGTACGTTGAATAACAACACATTGAAAAGTACCCAAGAGTTACCCTTAAATACATGCTTTTTTATCACTGACTTAATTTTGATATGAAAGACTGAAACTGAAAGTTAAATTTCATAAAATATAATGGATATTTGTAATCAATTGTTTTTCCCCACAAAAAATGGTGTTAAAGATTTTTCTGCATTATTTGGGAAAGGTGGGGGGGGGGGGGGGGGCAGAGGTACAATTTTTACTGATAATTTTATTATTGTATTATGATATCATATTGATCCTGGACTTGTAAATCACATGCTTTAGTTCTGATCATTTTCTCTGTTGAATAGATATGGGCTCATTATCTTTTTCCACAAACCATTGCTTCCTGGTGATAAATCCAGGTGAAGTTCAGTGGGCGTGTTCACAATACACAGAATTAAGATGTGTTTTGAACCGGTCGATGTTAATATTGCATTCAGTATAAGATCTATTTTTTCCGTTATGAAAATGAATGAATATAAAGATAGATAGCTAAAATTTAAAAGACAAAATATTAAGTGAATTAGAATTTAAAAGATCAAATAATAAGTGAATTTGTAAAACATGAAATTGAAAGATGGTGGACCTTCTTAATTCTGTGCATGTATAAATATATATATTTGTATGTCAAGGCAAGGTCAGACGCACTGACTGCGAAAAGAAAATAAAATTAGATTTCGCGGCACCAGGGTGTCATGGCGGAGATAAGCCAAAAATGTATGAGTTTGCTTTGTGATACCAGGGTGTTTAATTTCGACACAGGGACATGTGATACCCCTCCTTTCAATGACAGGCTCTCATTAAAGGACATTAAAGCTTTGGGACGCCTTCTCTCTTCCCTTTATCTTGGAGCTGGAAAGATTTCACAAGTTATTACTGGCCAGTTTGAACCTCGAAGATCAGTGGGATGAGGGTTAATTTTGCATTGGACACTTGTGAATTGGTTTGCAAACACGGGGTGGAAATTTAGCAGGATTAAAACTGCTTATTTATCGCGTAAAATTGCCAACTGTCCAAACTTCAGATAAGGAGGACACATTGGGAGAAATGTAGACGTGACTTCTGTCTTGGAATATATCTGTTCATTTTACCTGCCATTCTTTTGTTGCAGTTAAGAAATTTATCTGGGTTTTAGATTCCTGTGTAATGTTAATTGCTTTGAGTGGCATTTGCACTTTTGAATCTGTACCTGATGTAGCTAGAGGGTTTTGTTGTTTACCACTTAAAAGGCGAACTGTAAGATATTGTAAGGATTTCCAGTAATACCAAGTGCAGGCAACCTTTTCAGTGGAGACGGTATCATTTGTTAGGCTGTTGTATCTTTTTTCCAGAATTTAAGACTTGGGAACAGTCAACAAGTTGGCAAAGAGTGAGAAGGAAGCAAAACAGAGAAATGGACCATTGTTTTAGCCTTGTTCTAATCTTTCAGTTTAATGATTGTTATTTGTGAGTTTTTTAATTGATATTCACATCCTTTTTTTTACAGGTATTCAAGTGACCAACTTAGTTTCCACTGGCAGCTCTTTTTTAAACCAATCAGTGGTAGTTCCGCGTCCAACAGATTTACAACTGTTCCTGACAGACTCAGTTCATCAGCTGCCATCATGCATACCGCAGTCAATAAATGCCACACTGCGATTGGTTGCAGTGTTCAAGGATGTCCCTGTTACCATGCAGGGATCTGTTGCCTTAGGAACCAACTTGACTTTTGCTTGGGACTTTGGCGATGGAGGAGATGTAGAAGTTGTGACACCATATTTAAACAGTGCTCCTTGTGTGGGCAAAGATTGCACTGCTGTGAACAAGGTAAATATTTCCCCATCTCTCTGTCTCTCTCTCTCTCTCTCTCTCTCTCTCTCTCTCTCTCTCATTTTTCACCATTTTGCACATGTGAAGATGTGGTAAGTTCTATCCCACACATGTACATAAACTTGTTTACACACACACACACACATACACACACACAAACACACACACACACACGCACACACGTGTGCAAAAGTTTATATTTGAATACCATTTTTCAAGCTACTTCAAAATTTTTTAATCTGCACACGTGGAAAACATTGGCCTCAAGTCAGTGCACAGTCTAATGTTGATTTTTTCCATCATTTCCATCATAAAGATTTAGGAATTGTTTCGCACAGTGGAGTACTACTGAAATTTTAGGCTTACTGGTCTACAGAGACCAAAACCCAAGAGAGGTCGTCAAATCAATACTACAGTTACTGCAGTGGGTATTATGTACAGCGTTTCTCAATTAGAGGAAATATTTCTTTTGCTGGTAGAAAATTTGAGGCGTAATGTGCTGCAGATGTGTGTAGTTTTTACTTCAATGGACTGGTGAGTTCTCTTTGCTGGGTTTGGCATTTTGGCGGTCTGAAAAAAAAATTGACATTTTGCTTAGAAGATTCATATATTTAAGAAGTGTATATTTACTTCTTCTTGTAAGCATGAATGACAAGGTTTCATCTCTTTAAAATTTTGCCTTTGATTTGACATATTTTTATGGTATCCACATTTATCTTCAGTACTGTTTAGTTGTAGCTTTGGATGACAAGTTTTGTTGACATTTATGTAAAAGGAGAACGTCTGCAGGTATTAGATAACCAAAAGCAATAACCGATAACCTTGAAACAAAACTGAATCATTACGTATGAGAGTAATTTGAGTTATAGGATACGGATATGATTTCAAAGTGATGGATGAAATGTAAAGTGATAGGTACAGTTGTGTAAGCTCGAATCCAAGGGAAATTACAGGATGTGGCAAACTTTTTTTATCCCTTATGTAAGAATGGTGATGTAAGCCCCCTCTAGAAAGAAAAAAAAATCAGGAATTTGCATAAGATGAGTGCGGTCAAGTCAGTTTCATAAGTTGAGTTAAAACTTACGGTATCTGAAATTTAATTATTTTAGATTAGAGAAAAACGATAGACAAAAAATAACAGACCATTTGATTTTGTAGAAGTTTTGTAATTTTACTTCAAGGACTTATGAAATATACCAGAAGACGAAAGGTTGCATTCAAGGCAAAAATGTTAAGGGTACTCCATAGAGAAATGAAAGAAATTTTAGGTCTTCATCGGCAAAAAAAAAAAAAAAAAAAAAAAAGATTATGAATTGACTTCATGTCATGATTTACTGGCATCATCATGGTAATAATGATCATATACAGTCAGTGGTAGACAAATGAAGTTTTTTTTTGGCCATTTTATCTTTTCTATCTTCGTGAATTGATCCCCATTTTATCTTTTCTATCTTTGTGAATTGATCAGTTTCATAATACAGTCAGTGGTAGATACATTTTAAGTAGAGAACTTCCTTTCTTATACTTGTGCAACACACAATGTGTTCAGCAACCTGGTAATAATTTACATTGCTGTGAGTAGTCCAGAGACTTGCACAGAACAGTTTTTATTGGCTCTGTTTACACATAGGACTAATCAGACTGGGGAGAATCCTGATTTGAAATTGTATTTTTCCAATATATCAATGTATGTAAACTGCTACGAGACCTCAGTTTCACAAAAAAAAACAAAAAAAAAAAACGTCAATTTTTGGCTAGGTTGACTAGGATTTCTATGAGAGTGCTGTTACACTGATCCTGGTAGGGTAAGATGTGACCATGTAACCTTGGTAATTTTTTTTTTTTTTTTTTTTTGTGTGTGTGTGTGTGTGTGTGTGTGTGTGTGTGTGTGTGTGTGTGTGTGTGTGTGTGTGTGTGTGTGTGTGTGTGTTGTGTGTGTGTGTGTGTGTGTGTGTGTGTGTGTGTGTGTGTGTCAAAGGTGGATGGAGGGCAGGTCTCATAATCAGTCTGATGTAGTGGAACGAGGGCAATTTGAACCATTCTGTACCTGGTTTGGGTCAGGAGGTCATTGTGTGAACTAAGCTGCAATCTGACATAGTTTTGTCCCGTTATGTTTACGGTTCACGTTAGGTCATTGTGGAAACAGGCCTATATTCTGCTTTATCTAATCAATCAATAGTCTTGGTTTTGGAGCTCCCGACTGAAGTTGATGAATGCCCAGGGAGATTAAAACATGCTACAGATAAATCAGGGGAATATGGTCTATATTTATCGGTCTTGTTTACATTCTGGGCAGAGATTAATATAGTTTGCTGTAGATTAAGGAATTGTTTATTTGCATGTGGGCGAAGAAATGTACACACGTGTATGTTTGGCTTATGTGTTTGCATGTGAACATGCACGCATGCATTCGTGTGTGTGCGTGTGTGATTGTTCTGTTATGATCGGACACACGCTTTGACACTTTTTCATAGGTGCAGGTATGCATGGACATACATACACAGATGCATATAAGTAACTTGGAATGACTGTGCGAATGTAGGCCCGTAGCTAGCAGTTTCAAAAGGGAGGTTCTTTTTCTAAAAAAGTCGACCCTTCATCCTGAAACCTATGTGTACCCCTGGAAAAAATTTTACCCAGAGGAGACCTTTTCCCAGCAAAAAGGGAGGTTCTCTTTACCTACCCCCCCCCCCCCCAACCCCCCTGGCTAGGTGCCTGAAATGGCTTACATATATGCTGATAATAGAGGCATTTTTCTTTTGACTAAACTGTGGAACTCAGGGGTAGCTGGTGACCTAGGTTTGGACTTTTATTGCTTTTTGAGGTCTATTTTTGTACCAGACACGCAGGATTTTGACCAATATTGTTGCCCATTCCGCGAGGAGCTTAGCCCTTGGTTTGCAAGGATTACCCAGCTTAAACAAGTCGACGCAGCAGCGATCAATTAGAATTTGTCATGTAAGCCGAGGATCATGATAAAACCCATTAGCTGCTCCTGAGTAATTTATGAGGAGTTTATTGCTGAATTTATATTCTATTATTCCTTTTGGATGAAAGTGTGGAATCTTATCGCTGAATCCCCCTGCTTCTGAAGCCCATTGAATTGGATGGCTTAGATATTTATGGGCGTAATTTTTTCTCTAGTTTTTAGGCTGAATTTGAAATGGTTACCTGTTCTCTGCGCAGGTAAGGTGGAGGGAGCTGAGAGGATATTCTGGCGCAGTTAAAGTGTTTGTTTTGCAGATAGAAAGATGATAACAGAGACTGTGATGGAGGTCACAAAAAAGGTTGCTCACTTTTTTCTTTGTGGAGAGTATTTATTGATGTCCATACTAACAAAAAGAGTTCATCTTGAAACAGTACACTGTATATCTATCAGTAGCCTAAAAGGAAAAATATTAAATTTCAGGATGCAGCCAGCCATGTTTCCATCTGGGGGTGGCATTATGAAGCCTTAGTAGTTCGTGCATGGCTTTTTCGGACAAGAATTTCATCAGCTGTGCTTTGTTATTAGAGTTAAGTTATTTTTCTTCACTCAACAGCTAATATTACCTCCAATATATCGATCTTCATCAGGGGTTGAGGCTATCCAGGTCAACAGCATCCATGTCCCCTGCCCACCATCTGTCATTAGAAAAGCAGGTATAATTCTGGGAAGTTTGGAAATATTGGAAGAATATTAGTTGTCAATATTAGCTGTTGAGTGAAGGAAAAAATCGCTTCATTCTTGTATGGCTTTTTAATTGGAGGTTTGCTTGCTAAGTCATCTTTAACATTTTGCTGATAAACTTTGTAAGATTGTATGATGTAACAGTAAATGTTAGCTAACAAGAGCTCTGGTTGTGATGGCTGTTAGACTATTTTCTGTCGAAGTGGCAACTTCTCTGAAACCAGTTCATTGCCAGAAAGTTTCCATTTGTCACTGATGTGTCCATCAGTTTTGTCCAGTCACCTCGATGGCCAGTTAAGTGGTTTTACTGACCGTAGAACTCGTTAAGTGGGCTCTAATGGCATTGGGTGGTAATTTGAGCATGATACTCTAGAAGTTAATATTACTTGGAGTTTCAGTCTAGTAGGATTGGTAATTTTGTTTAAGTGCTTTCAGAGGCAGGGTCATGAACAGTAAATCAATTTTTTCAGCAAAGCTAGAGTTTATTATTAATGCTGTTGAATCCAGGTCTCCTCGAGATGTTTCTGAGCATGCTCTGCTGGCTAGAACAGAAGTAGAGGTCCAGGTAATTGTGATTTTCCCATGGAACTGCCCTGTGACATTTTGAAACATGTAACTGCTCCTGCGAAATTGTCAGAGCTGGGTCACATTTGGTGCACACATTTGTTTACTCAGTCTTGATTTTGGGGTCAGTCAGTGCATTTTTTTCTCAGGATTGCTTGCCATTGTAGCAAACTCTGTGAGCCAAGCTGCTAGCTCGCAGCCTTGCCAATTGGGATGTCCCTCTTGGTGAGTAACCAATGTTTCTGATCCAAACCCCCATTAGCTGGACCTTAATTGTCTCTTTATTTTCCTTTCAGAGCCACACTTTCACTCAGCTGGGCATTTATGATGTGAGGTTGGAGGTGAACAACTCGTTAGGAAGTCTTCAAGCTGGACTTAGAGTGGTAAGTTGAAAGGTAGAAAAATACTGGGTTATAAGTAAGTGACAGTTAAGGGTCTTTTTGCACAAATATGAAAGTCTTTTTAAAGAAGACTGTGCAGGCAGTATTTGTCATCTGTCATGAAAACTCCTCTTTAAATAAAAAAAAGAAATGACTAGTGGATTCAAGATCCTCCAGCACTCTTGTTGGTAAATTTGTACTAGTGTATGAAGTGCAGGTGGAAATAAGTACACATTTTCTTTTTTTTTTTTTCGACACCAGGTTGTGTTAGACAGAGGCCTTGCCAACCTGACCCTGGAACGCCATGATTCGTCCCCTAACGTCACCAAGCCAGGAGTGGCAAGCAAGTTTGTTGTTTCTATGGCAACAGCAAGCAGGGAGGTCAGCTATCTCAGAGTTGACTTTGGCGATGGTGACGTTTTGACCTACGCTTTGATTGACAGCAATGATACACTGCTGGTGCGCGAGGGCCAGGATCGGCTCCTGTTGCTGTCTAGTTACGGAGAAGGCTGCACATTACATGTGGAGGTTGATCACACTTACACAGATGAGGGGATATTTACAGTCTCCATCCAAGCTTTCAATAACTACACCACTTTGAACCAGACTTTGACCAATGCAGTGGAGGTTGTTAGAGAATTAAAAGATATTCGTCTGAACGCCAAAAGAGCTGCAAAATTGAACGAAGTGGTTGTGATGACTCTGACATTGGCTTCGAAATCTGACAGCGCCATCTACAGTTGGGGCTTCTTGCACCGTGAGTCACAGACCTGGTTCAATACCACCACCAACACAACAACATTGTCTCATACTTTTACCACTGTGGGTACATACACCATTGCGATAGAGGCGTCCAATGAAGTCAGCCGGATATCCATGGAGGGGATGATCAAGATTCAGATTCCAATAGGCAATGTTTCTATCACATCGCAGAGTCCAAGCCCCGCAGCCACGTGGGAAACGGTGACTGTGTCTGCGTTGTTGCACAGCGGGTCTGACCCAATCTTTACCTGGAGCTTTGGCGATTATTATCCCTCGATCGTAAGGAGTGAGAACATGACCTCCACAGCTGACCATGTGTACAGAAGACCAGGAGAGTATATTGCTATAGTGTCCGTGGACAACATGGTGAGCCGGTCCTCGAATCATGTCCGATTCACAATATTGGAGTCTGTGTCCACTCTGCTGTTGACCACCACTGGACCTTTGGAGTTGGGGAACAATGTCACAGTGACCGCTTCTGTAGAAGGAGGGACCGATGTCCAGTTTGAAGTGGACGATGGTCAAGGCTTCGTAGAGGTCAGCAGGTCAAGAACCAATCCAAAGTCTGCATCTTCAGTGCATAGCTTTTCCGCAGTTGGGACATACCCTGTGACATACGTTGCCTATAATAACATTTCTAGAGTTACCAAAACAACAGAAATTATTGTGCAGGAGATGGTGGGGAATGTTACCATAGCAACACCAGGCCGAGTGATTGTTGGAGAAATTGCAACATTTTATGCACAGATAAATGGTAAGATGTGTATCTGTTTGTTTCTGGGCTTCTCTCTTAGCTAGTATCTTTAGCTATGTGTCTTTTGCAGGGAAAATTTAAAAGAGAAAGTGGAAGTTCAATTTGTGGATGTCTGTATACCTCAGTTGATTAATATAGAAAAACAAGTGGCCACAAAATCCCAAGTCCTATTTGATGAGGAATGTTGCAGGGAGATTTGCAGAAAAGAAAATCATTAGTTAAAAGTTTTACCTATGATTTACTCTTTGCAGGAGTATTGACAAGTGAAAGGCCTGTCTTGTACCACTGGACTGTAGAGGGTGCCACTGTTGTCACCAGGTCACCAGTCTGGTATACAAGTTTAGCCAGCGTTGGGACTGTCACAGTGACACTGAAAGTGAGCAATTTAGGTGAGTGGACTTCACAATAGTTTTTTCTACATATGAAGTAAGGATAAGTAAATTACAAATTACCAGACAATAAGCAAGCAATTTTTAATGTATATTGTGCGAGAGATAGAAATGGTTTGAATCAATTTTTGAAAGTCAGTGCAATGTTGTAATGAAGGTAGGCAGGCCTTTCACATAAAAAAATCACTACAGTGAATGTAGCCCCTTCGCATAAATTTAAATTCAACAGAAACTTTTTTTGAGATGTTGTTTAGTTGCCTATCTACAATTTCTTATTTGACAATGCACTTTGAGAAAGAAACTTCATTTGATTGAATGAAAAACATTCAATGAACAAATTAGTGAATGTTATCAACAATAGCAGCATGCCATTTATGTATATTAAGCATTCCATTAAAACAGAGTGTGTACAGTTGATCTATAAATTATTTATTTTGCCAATGCTTTCATTTTGCGCCCATTCTCACACAATGGACCCTTCACAAAAATTGAATAAAATATACTATTGGAGATAATCTTTCATTGCATTTATTTAATACTTGCACCAGCACTGCTAATTTAATAGAAGCGCATAGCACTGTTTTGTAAACATTTTATTCCTGTAGCAAGCAAAGTAAAAATATGAGATGTACATAATTTCTCAACTAATGTAGTGTTTATTGAAACCATTATTATCAATCAATATATTTTTTTCTGCTAATGTTATAATTTTGGCACAGTATTAAGTAATTAGTGCCATGCTTGATTTTATCACTACCCAGATGCACAGGGATAAATAGAGAGTAAGTTGCAAGCTGATAGACATTGTTGGTGTTTCTTTGACGAATTCTTACTCATGCATACTTGTCTAGAATGCAGTTGTTTTTTGCTGTTTGTGAAAATAATATTTTTTTGTCCTTGTTTTATATAGATGTCAATTTATTTCATGTGTTGGATGAATTAATATTTACTTAAATATTAGTTTGTTGGTTTTGATGATGAAAGTAGGTGTTATGAAGTGTACCACTTGTATTTTTTTTCAGTCAAAATACATTGAGTGGAGTTTATAGATGTTTCTGAAACTGCTGTGTTGGCATGTTTTATGTGTTTTCTTTTAAATATTTGCAGTTATTTCTGGGTACTGTTGTGTTGTATTTTAATTGAAAGATGTATTTGTTTGAAAGAGAGGAAAGATTATATTAAAAACAATGGACTTTTATTTATTATTTTAAATTCATATTTTTTTTACTAAATAAAAGGTATAAATGCATTGCATGTATACTTCTCTGCATACCTACTTAATGAAAAAAAACACAAAGGAAATATTAAATGTTATTAAAGGGTTTTCTAATTGAAGAGTACTTCTTCAACAGAAATTCCATAATTGAAAATATTTCAATGTTTGTAGAAACTAAAATGGTTATTTATGCATTTCAGTCAGCACAAGTTCAGCAGCTAAAGTAGTGGATGTGGAACCTCTTGGATCAGAGCCCTACCTGGTGGTCAGCGGCCCCACGGCTGTTGGGCAACAAGTCCAGCTTGCCATCAAAGTATTTATTCATTTAAAACTAATTTATTTATGTAGAAATAGTATAAAAAGTCAAAACCAGTAAATGATTTGTGAGTTTTGAATTTATTTTTAAGAATTATTTGATTTGGTGGGAAAATCTGAGATAGGATACCTGTACTTTTTTGTTTTTGGAAAGTCAGCATTAGAATAGATTGTGTTTTTTTTGTGCCTTTCAAATAATGGGTAAAATTGCTCTCCATTATGTTTCATGTAGCATTCATTTGTTCAGTATTTCTGTTTTACTTACTTTGTATCATCATATAAAAGTCTAAGAAAAAACAACAGTAAGTTAACTGTTTTTTGTTCTTTTAAGAATGTCCAGTCGGGAGCCACGGTCAATATAGACTATGGAGACAACACTACGGCCACCTTGACCACTCCAAACGGTCAGCTGACATTCAGCCACACCTACGCACAGACTGGGGAGTTCTGGCTCAATGTGGCACTTAGTGAGGGTGCCAATGGCGGCTTTTACAGTCTTGGAGGAGTGGCGGTAATTGAAGAGCCCATCACTGGATTAGAGATTGCTGGTCCGTCTGCAGTTAGGCAGCTGAGGTATTTGTTGTGGTTCTTTAGTTATTCCTGATGAAAGCGTTATGCACACGTGGCACCATTGAAGAAAAAAAAATAATAATAAAGAAAAAGCGTGCAGTTTGAATTGAAGAGCTAACTGTACAAAATTTTTCTCTTGAAAAAAGAAAATAGAAGGGATGAAAATTACCAAATAGCAGTAGCAATATAATATCTCTTTTTCAACACTGCAGATAATTTGACTTTAGAATTCACATTCAAATGCTTGTTGAATGATTTATTGCCTACTGCTAAGGATGGATCATCCCACAGCAAGAGCTTGTACCGAGTTTTGTCTCAAGAGCTCTGCTTTGATTGACTTAATCTGGCAGCTGAAGTGATTATCAGCTAATAGTTCTTGTTTTGATTGCAGCACTCTGGTAGGCCACGTGTGGACTGCTGGTGTTTTATCAGGAACCAATCTGGTATATGCTTGGTCCTTTGGAACTAATCAGACAGAGCAGACTGCTTTGAGCAAGGTAGGGGGAAACCTTCCAGAAGTTATCACTGTGTCTCACTTGTCATTTTGAGTAGGAATTTAAAAAAAAAAAAAAAAGATTAAAAAGCTTTTCATTGACAATGCTCCAAGTTGAACTGACTAATATGAGACAATTAGAATGGCTTTTTGTAGGAACATAGATTGTACATAGCTTATTATAGCCTGAAAGATTTTGTGTCATTTTTGCACAATTATAACAAAAAAATTGTTTGGTTTGTCTAGGTAACCAAGGAATTCACCAAGCCTGGAACATACAACTTGACCCTCACTGCTACCAATGGTCTTGGGTCAGCCACGTCAGTTACCAAGGTAACTGCCCAGCACTCCATAGACTCTCTGGACCTTAGTGTCAAAAACACAATTCCTGGGTACCGAAATCAGTTTGCCATTACCATATCTGGCGGTAGGGAATTCTGGGTAACTGTGGACTTAGGAGATGGAAATGTGACCCAGTTTTCTTCAGAGAACCCTGGGAATGGTGTAGATTTCAAAGTGTTAACTCCATCGAGTCATCACACTGTTGTGCCGAAGTATGAGTGTGTGGTCCACCATGCTTACTCAGATGTTGGAGATTACAGTGTTTCGGTCAACGTCTCTAATTATATCAACTCCATGGCAGCAACCAAGGTCCTCAAAGTGGACACGCCCATTACTGGTGTTACCATATCAACCACCAGTCCACGCTATGTTGCCGCGACACAGCCTGTCACTTTCATAGCAACGGTAGCCACTGGCAACAACTTGATGTTCTATTGGCAGACGGAACCACAGACATTTGTCTACCCAACAAAAATAACAGAGTAAGTTCTGTGTCAGAGAGAGTTATCATTTTCAGCATAATAAGGCAGAATTTTGTTCTCTTTAAAGAAGGAAACTTATTATGTTGTTCCAGTATTTTTTTTTAAATGTAATAATGCTGATAATATACTTGCCAACAAGCCAAAAATTGTGCATTTCTGCTTTGCAGGGGCGGATCCAGACCTATTTACTGACAGTCTTCCAAATTATCTTTGTTGATTCATTCTCCAATTTTGACCGTCTTCCAACATGAAAAATTGGATACCCGTCAATGTAAACTTGGAAATCTGACCGTCTTCCGGAAGACCCAGAAGACGGCCTAAATCCGCCCCTGCTTTGGCAAGCACTTTGACAGACCTACAGACTGTAGTAAAGGCAGTTTGTTGAAGTGTTTTTTTTATTGACATGCAACATATTATTTTATATAATAATATTATTGATTAACACAATTTTATCCGCAGAACCCACAACAGTAGCGAGGTGGTCTACCAATTCCCTCAGGCAAGAGACCTCAATGTGTCCGTCAGAGTGACTAATGCCATATACCAGTTTGGGGCGCCCTCTGAAATTGGTGGGATCACGGTTCATTTGCCGTTTTTGATATCTGTCAATCACCCTGTGAGTCAGGTCAGCATTGAGCCAATGACAGGCATCTACGCTGCTGCGGACAATGCAACTGTGTCATTCGATGCCAAGTAAGTAACAGAAATGTTTTAGCTGAACTGTCTTAATTGATTTACTGGATGTTTGATTGTGTTGAGCACAGTTGCTTCTTTATGTAAAGGATAAAATAAAATAAAATAAAACAAAATAAAATTTAGAGCTGATACCGTGTTTAGGAGATGTTTATCTTTTTTCTTTTGTTTTAAACATTGCCAAATGTAAATTTTGATAGCATTTTGTTCACTTTTTCTGTAGTGCCTTTGTAAACTATGGAATGAAGTCATCTTTGTGAGAAATGGGAAGAACGTAGTTGAAACATCGATTCTGCCCCTGACATTATATTATAACTTATCCTTATTCTAAATCAAAACCTTTCCATCCATCCTTTACAAAGAAACACAATGACGATACTTGCTAGATTTCTGTGATTCTGTATTTCAGGACACACGGAGGTTCAAATGTTATGTTTCATGTGGACTTTGGTGATGGTACCACCGCCAGTGGGGTAGCTGTCTTTGGGTTGCTTGGGCTGAGAAGAGAATTTACACACAAATACACAGCAGGTATTAGATATGGCTTTTTTCAAGACCAAATTTATCTTTCAATGGCAATCTTGTATGTCTTCACTGAATTTAATGAAAAATGTATACCTATTACAGTTTTCATCTTTTCTAGCTTGCCCTTTAATGTGAAAATCATTTCCTCAACCAAAAAGGTATCTATACCTAAATATGCTTGTTATTAAGTTATTTTATTGAAATTTTTGTCTACTATACAATTAACAAAGATTTTGGTACTTTTACTTGATATGTATGTAGAGTAAACAGCTTTGTTATGGAAAGAGATTTCTTCTTGTTTTCAGAGGGGGTTTACCATGTGAGTGTAACAGCCACCAACCCCCTGAATCAAGTCACCGCCAACATGTCTGCCCCTATGTATGTCATGCGACCGCCAGGTCATGTTTACATCATATCGCCATCACCCTTGAACCCATACTTCAAACCTGGTGAAACCATCCACTTCAATGGCAGCGTCACCAGTGGATCTAACCTGACATTTGATTGGTCGTTTGGTGACCAGACGGAGCTGATCGATGCAGAGTTGTCAGTCAGTCACACGTATTTGGACGTTTCTGATGTTGGTTACCTTGTCCGACTGACGGCTAAAAACAGGGTGAAACCTGTGTATGCATATCTACAGATATTTGTGCAACACGTGATTCAAGGTATTTATGAATATAAAGATGTATTAGCCATGTGTGATTTCTTTGCCTTGGTCAATAGGTCATGGGTTTAAACTTCATGAAAAATCGGCTACCATTTTTTCAAACCTAGACCATTTCTGTAAGGCTTTATGCTATTCTGTATTGTACTTCTTTTAGGTGGTTTCTATTGTTAGGTGTGGAACTGTAGCTTGTTATTTTACATTAGATGGTACTCTAATCCATGTGGCATTGGTTCTTTAAGGCTGTCACTTTTCTGATAGTGCTGCCCCCTAGCAGTGGTATAAAACTTGTAAATAATATTTATATTATATTTTATACAAGTATATTTTTTTTCCAAAACTGAGTACTTCTATACATATAGTGTGTGTGTGTGTGTGTGTGTGTGTACATGCATGTGTCTATCAGTCGAAATAATTTTGATTGCCCTTTAATTCAATGGTTGTTGTTTACCTCTAGGCTGTGACACTGTGGTTGAAGGCGGCAGAATTCACGAGTATAATACCCCTGTCACTCTGAGAATCACGCCCCAACCTTTGGCAGCAAGTGCCCCGCAAACCTTCTATGAATGGGACATACAGTCTCAGTTCAGCTCCTGGAGCTCATGGGATCAGACTTACCTGAACTTTAAGTCATATAGAACATTGCTACCAGGAAGGTATGTTAACTGAGGCCTGATTGGACCAGAAATGTAGGTCACAAGATGAGCCTGAAATTTGGATTGTATTGTTGCATTTTGATTTTCTAGGACATATATATGCTGGATGAGTTGAAGTTGAGGAATTTTTTTTTTGTTGAATTATCGTTCAACATTATGTCCTGGGTTTTTGATTATCTTATGCCTAGTGATAATGGAACATGCTGTGAATTGCTAATTTATTAGTGCAGTCAGTCTGTTCATGTAAAGTTGTTGGTACTGTACTAACTGTTTTCATAATTATACATTTATTATTGTCTTGTCTTATCCTGTAACTTCATGGCACTGATTGTTGATTTGATTAGCAGTGTCCAGGTATTTCAGTTTCATATGCCTATCTTATCTTACATACTATACTATACTATGCTTTCATAATTATAGATTTATTATTGTCCTCTCTTACCCTGTAGCTATACGGCATTAACCAAAGCCAACAACAGGGTTAGCAATCTCACGGACTGCACTCCGGTAGAGTTCCGCGTCGTGGAGAGGTTGAGTCGCATCAGCCTTCAATTGCAGAACCAGGCCATCTTTGGACAGACCTTTGAGTTCAACGTCTACCATTTCCGTGGCTCCGATGTCAGGTACACGTGGGATTTTGGCGATGGATCACACAGCAATGAAAGCAACAGACATGCAAGTCATAAATACCTCAGGTGAGTTTTGTACATAAGAGTTCAGAAAGGAGATTTGTTGCTGGTGGATTTTCAGATTTTTATTTATTTATTCATTAAGTTTACTTTATAATTTTTGTATTAGAAATAAAAAGTAAACTTTAAAAGATAAGCCACTAAGTTATTCTTTGAAAGAACTCAGTTTCTAGAATACTTCCATGTTTTGTCTACTAAAAACAAACAGAGGCAGTATAATAGTATTATTCTAAGAAGCGCCTATAACTATACTGTGCACTATCTATTGTAAGGGTTTTTCCGTCAAAGCCCAGGATTTTTTAGGCCTGTAAGGAAATGGTTTGAACAAACGGCCCTTATAGCATGAAAAAGGTCAATTCTGATTCTAATAATGTTCTAGGTTCTATGCCATTATGGTAAAAAAAATCAGCTTTTCCAGAAAAGAGATCCCCCTCCTTTTGAAATTGTAGGCTACAGGGCTGATTGTTATATCTTGTCATTATTGTAAGGTAAGAATAATAAGACTTTGAGATAGTACAGCTCTTCAGATTTAGCCTGTCAGAGTTCACTGTATGAATTCATTTTCTGTTTTCAGAGAGGGGCATTTTATTGTGAAAGTAGCGGCCAGTAATCCTTTGGGTAACGAAACGACAACTTTGGATGTGTTTGTACTGAGAAGGTTCTGCTTGCAACCACAGGTCAATGTGATTCCTGCTGATCTTGAGGTGGGTTTCTTGTGGCATTTTGTGTTGTTGTAGTATACCTATATAGTTTATTTTATGTTATTTTAGTATACATTGTATAGTTAATTTTGTGTTATTCTAGTATACATTGTATAGTTTATTTTGTATTATTTTAGTATATACTGAAGTTAGGGCTGTATATGTTGACGAGCACTGAAAAAAAACATTCTATTTGTGAACATATGTCCATTTTTCTCCATGTTGTATATGCTTTCACTGTAAGTTTCTTTCTTTACTAGACTGTCTTCTCAAAACCCCTGCGACTCGAGGCAGACATCAATGTCCAGTGTGACATTAGCAATGCATTGTGGTATAGATGGGAGTTCAGGAACGCTAGCGCCACCAATGGGACGGTGGTGACTTACCAGGGAGCACACACGCGAGGCCTGCACCAGAAGGTCCTGTGTCTGCCCCCGCGTTCAGTCCCTCCAGGAAACTACAGCGTATTATTACGGGTAAAAATGACAAAAAGTTTAATTTTAAAGTTGTGGAGTTACTTAAGTTTGAACGTGTTTGAAAGCAGTCATAATAGATATCAGTTATTGAAAACATGTTAACTTACCAATGTTATAATGAATTATTGACTTTGAGCAAGATCTTTCTGTTGTTTTTCAAACTTCAGAAATGAAGAATGAAAAATGATCAACGCAATATTATTGACCCATTATTCTCCAGTTAAAAACCACATGGTAATGTATCAGTCATGTACTATTAACATTGTTTTATTTTAATAATCAAACGCGCACTTATTGTCTTCAAGGTTGGCATCAACAACACCATAGTAACCACCAAAGCAGAAGCGCGGGTAGTCATGGCGCCCACGCCAATAGTGAGTGTCATCAAGGGTGGCGTCATGAGATACTTCAACACTAATGATACGGTCGAGCTGGATGGAACAGCCTCGTATGACCCAGACAACCAGACGGCCATATTGAGGTAAGAGCCAGATTATTATCTTTCATGCACACTTACAATTAATGCAATTTAGGGAGAATCCCCTCGGAGATAGATTGATCCTGGTAGTACGATAGGTTTATGGGAATGGTCCCTAAGATTAATATTTTCTTTGCTTCTGACCCAGGTACAACTGGACTTGCTATCTCCTGACCAATACCTCAAAGTCGTGCTTTAGAGAGAATGTGAACCTGCCCAGTTTAGATCAGCCAATACTGCAGGTAACGAGGGAGCACCTGCTGCCAATGAAGGCTGACAAAGTGCCACTGGAATATGTCTTCAATTTGACTGTCAGCAATGGAGGAAAAGCAAATTCAACAACGACAGTGGTCATTCTGACGGATATTGTGCGCTACAGGTGAGATAGTATTTTTAAGTCTGTGTGTATGAAAGTGCTGCACTTAAGTTTTAGTTTGAGTGTTAGTGTTAATTTTTTTGCTTTTTGCCAGATGCTGAAAATAGTGTGGCTGCTGCAAAAAATTGTAAAGTTGGTCTCTCTCTCTTTTTCTCCCTCCCCCCCCTCTCTCTCTCTCTCTCTCTCTCTCTCTCTCTCTCTCTCTCTCTCATCAGTAACACTGATTGATTGTGACACTTATTTTATTGTAATTTATGATGTTTCAGTGTAAGTATCCAATGCAAAGGTTGTAAAAACACCGTAGTTAATTCCGACTATCGTCTGAGCATGGAGGCCTCCTGTCCAGATTGTCCCGGTGACCTGAAATACGAATGGGAGGTCAATCTGGTGCATGATGGGAGAGCTGCAACTCCTGCAGGTAATTATGAGTGTTACTTTATTATTCTCAGTTAAAAGCAATGTATAAAATGTTCAAACAGCCTGAATTTGTCTGAATGGTCATTATTTTAATATTTTCCTTTGCACTTATAAAAGGATAATACTTCTTACCCTGTCATATAATGCTTATTAAGTTGAACATGACTTGAATTTTATGTTAAGACCATTATTTTGAATTATCTGGCTATAATGTAAAGACAAATTAACCTTGGTTGTAAAAACTGATTTTCTGAAACTCATTTGTAAAAGTATATTAAAAATATAGTATATTAAAAATATACAAATATGTAATAGTTCGTCAGTCAGAATTGTTACTTGTACGTCAATATTTATCTCTTAACAAATAAGTTTTTTTCACTGCAGGAGCTCATGATGAAGGGCAGTGTGTGAAGTCGGATGGCTCCTCCTACATCTTGTATCTCCGATGGGCGAATTCCACCGCAAGCAGCTTGAATTTATCAACCACCACTGCAGCACCCACCTCAACCAGTACTCCAACCCCTGATAGTAAGTGAACTTGAATTGTATCATAATGTAAATTAGCATTAATCCAGTTGTCATGTTCAAGAGGCAAAAATATCAAATCTCAATCTGGCAATTACATGTATCCGCTAGATGTCATGCAAATTCTCTAATGTCACTTAAAGACTGCTATACCACCAGCAGTGCCACCTGTAGTGACAGTGCCCTGACGATGTCCTTGTGATAAATGACAAAACGTCAGAGTTTCTGCATGACATTTAGCAGATCTACATGAATGTCCAGTATTTTTCAGTCATAATTTCTTTAATTTAGACGATCCTATTGTAATGAGTGGTAGCAACAAAATTAAAAAGCGGGCTACTCATCATTCCTTTCTATGCAGTAAAAGCACCACAAATGCTGTATAGAAATAAATTTTTTTGAGATTATAAAAATATGTATCTGAAAGTTTGATCATTTTTTGCCCACAGAAAAGATTGAGTAAGTACCATATGTTATCACTTCTGGTGTATATCTTTACAGATGCAGGCCCAAGTAGTACTCCATTGCCAAATTTCAACCCTTTCCCAGGATTTGGAGACATGCAAGAGGGCTCTGAAGACAGTGGTGAGCAATTTTTGAAGCTGTTGTCTATATTTATCTAAATTTGTGTTAATTATTTTGATTTGTTAATTTCATTTTTTTTTTCAATCTGATGGCCAATAAATTTAAGTAGATACAGTAAAAAGGAACTGATGAATTGTGAATGGAATGCCTCACTTTAGTAAATGCTCAAAAATTTCAGAAGTTTCATTTGTTTCATTTTTTTTCAAATGATTTTAAAGTATAAAAATGAAATAAAAAGTGTATAATGAACAGATCAAAAATTAAAAGACCAGTTTGTTTTACATTTGTAGAGTGATATTTTTTCAACTTGTTATATTTTTTTTTTAACTTGTGGAATACGATAAATTAATTTTGCTCAAACTTTCTGAGTGTTTACCTTACTTCAAAGGCATGTGGGTCAGTTTAGTTACTTAAAATATTTTAATTCCTACTATACTAGTTTTTACTTGTGAATCCTTATATGCTTTTGGGCTTATCAGACCTTGCAACAGAGCCTGCAGGCCTAATTTTTTCTGCCCCAGCAGGACCATTAAAAAAAAGCTGCAATATTTAAAATGAGATTCCTTTTGAAGCAGTGAGTGAAGGTCAGGGTCAGGGTCACCTGTTGTCAGTGGGAGAGTGGAAGGAGTAGAGAATATAATTAAGTCATTGGACTAGGGCAGGTTGACAGAGTGGAAAGTTGAAATTGTACATGAATGGGCCAGTTGTGAGAGTAAAAGGGGTTAGAAAAATGATCTCACTTCTTGCATCATTTGTCATGCTCAGAACAGATATTGAACAGATACATGCATTCTTTACATTTTTTTCTCGTTAAGGTAAAATGCACTGTTTAACCTGGGATGGTGAATTTTTAGGATTGAATTTTAAAAAATAAAGTCATAAGTCATAATGTAAATGTCTATTAACTTCTGACACTGAATCAAGTTGTTTAAAAGAAAACGAGGGGTTTCTAAGGACTTCTTCCTACTTTCTTCTGTGTCATAATCTCTGCAAAGACAGAGGTTAACACCCTTACAGGTCATCTAAAAATAAAGTGATAAAGATATAAAACATCAGCAGTCCAATGAATGGACCCTTTAAAGAACTCGAAGTAGCCTGCCCTCTGCTCACGTCAGGTGTGTCTGCTTGGCCAGCGAAGTGGAAATAGATCTTAATGGTTTCTAGGTACAATGACTTGTTTGCATGCAGGGCTGGCTGGGCTAGCATGCCTGAGGTGATATGGTGCCCTGTCATGTTGGTAAAGCACTTGCTACTTGATGAAAAGCAGGTGGGATGTGTATTTGGTTGGTTAGTTTGTTTGTTTGTTTGTTTGTTTGTTTGTTTGTCAGACATGAGCTCTTTCCGTGGAAAAGCAGAATTCCGCGTTTTTTAAAATACAATTCTGAGATTTGTCAAGGTTGGTTTCTGAGATTTGTCAAGGTTAGGTGTTGGGTCCCATGATAAATGTTCAAAGTTTATTTTTGAAATCTAGGCTCTTGTCTGGTTTGTTTGTGCACTTGTTTGTGTGGAAATGATTGTGTGCTTAGCAAATTTTTGACATTCAGTGTTGGAAATTTTTGACACTCAGTGTTGGCAGAGGCAAACCTAAGAAATCATGGTTTAATATGTTGGAGTGACATGTATGCAGATTTTTTTTATGACTTTTGGAAGGTAGTCATAAAATTACTGGAAAATGGAAATAAGTATTTTTGCTTGTTCAAAAGTTAGTGGATAGAAAGAAAAACTGTAGTGCTTTTTACTTGCAGATCGACACAAGAGAGATGTTGATGACATTGACCTTCACCCTGCGTCTGGACCAGTCAGACGAAGGCGACAGACTGAGGGAATGATTATGGAAGGCGGATCAGGTAAGAAATGGAAGTAAACTGTTACATAGTACGGTGATGGATTCTCTTGGTCTTCAGGAAGATCAACAAAAATTTCTTGAAAGCCATAAAAAAAAAATGTTTTTTTTTAGGTCTATTTGTTTAATTATGTGTGAAAACATGGATGTACAACTAGATTTTTTCTTTAGATCTATCATTTTATATAAAAAAAATTTATATATGAGCAGTGTTATATTTGTTCACATATATTATTTATAAAACATTTGATTGGTTCTCTTCAGCTAACTTTGGTAATCCTTCAGAGGGTGGAGAGGGAGGAAGAGGCAACGGACCTGGGAGAGGTACAGGCAGTGGTAGTGGAAGTCCAGGTAAGTGATACTCCGAACACTTCAAATTTTGTGTGGTCAGTAGACAGAATACTTTCCCTAGCATTGCAGTAATTGCTTGAAATTTTCAAATGCCACATTTAATTCAGTATTTCTGTTTTTCAGGATTTAGTTTGTTGTTTTATTTGGTTTTTCACACAAAAAAACAACACTTTGTGACAATTTGACACTTAGTCACAATAGGGAGCTTTCAAATTAAGATTTTCCTTGTTGCTTTATGTGTGTCTAAAAATATTCTTTTGGAGAATATAGTTACTATTTTGTTCAAATTCCATTAGTAAGTATCATAAATTATTTGTTTCTTATTGCGTATATACTGTTGCATCTTTTAAAATCAACATATCTGAGTTTTAAAGAGTGACACTGTCTGGGACTAACAGCGTACATAGTTATCTGTGTTCAAAAATCACTGAAATGTATCATGCCATGACCAAGTTGTCATTAAAATATTACCCAATTATCATAAAGTAAGGGGCTGTTTTTTCAATTTAGTATGTAGAGCATGGCACGGTTGCTGAAAATAAAGCAGGGGTTTTGGACGCGCATGGCAAGATTGGGATCTTTCAAATTACAGGTGTATTTGTGGAACCTGCTGCTTAGATCATGACCTTGATAGACATTTGTGTGACAAGCCAAGTCTGATTTATCACCCTTATGTTTGACAGTCTAAACACCCCATGGCCTTAAGGCTAGTCTCTCATAAAATATTTTGGGGTTTAAGTCTGTTTTAAAATTGACACTAGAAGGAGTAGGGACTCTTTGTTTGATGTGGTTTTTTGACTGCTGTGGATTTGTTGATGTCTTAAAGTTAGTACCAAGATTTTGAAGTAGACTTCAAAGGTTTTCACTTTTATTTTTTTTGCTCTGTCAGAACTATTCTAAGCATTTTTGAGTACTTTGAGAAAAATCTAGAAATTTTGCTTAACCAATGGTGAAAAATTTCTTTACCTTTTTGCAAATTTATCAATTTTCATTCATCTGTGGTATATTAAGTTTAATGTGATCTGTATCACAGCTCTCCCCTTCAATTTTTATGAGCATAATCTTTGTGTCTAAGCAATTTTCTCATTCCTTTTTAACTCTCTGTGATATAAATATTTTTCTTTGAACTTTAAAGGTGTTGACGTGCCTACTGTTCCACCAGCCACCCCACCAGATGGCGCTTTTGACGGGAACAAGAAGGACAAAGAAAACCCCCACATCGTTAGCTACGCCCGCACGGCCATTCCCATCAGGCCCGAGCAGACGGTAACGGGGCTTCATCAGCAGTCTCTCATCATCAGCCCCCACGTGCTTACGCAGGGGCGCTTTCACATTATCCAGGTCAAGGTGAAGGACAAAGACAGCAGGGTCGTGGGAGAGACCTGGGCAGATATTTGGGTCAATGAGAGCCCAGTCTATGGGAAATGTGATGTCCGCCCTAGCAATGGCATTGAGCTGCAGACGACATTCAGTGCTTTCTGCTTACAGTGGGTTGACCAGGTGGGATATTTTATATTATATATATCAGAATCAATATATAACAGAATTGCAACATTTACTGCTATAAGTACTGTAACAGTAATTTTGGAGGTCTATAAAATACCTCATTTCATAAAATAGAGCTGTGCTCTTTTGGACATGAAAGTGCACTAATGGATATTTTAAACATTAATTCTCTTAAGAAGCTGATGTATTAAAATACATAGGGTTTTGATGATATTGCAACACATCCAAGGTGGCAAAAAGGTTGAGAAGTTGTTGAATATGGTTGCATTGATAAATATTATATTTGTATGATTTTTTCCACATTTTCATTTCTCCAATATCCGTTTCATTTATCATGTGGATAATGCCTGGTACCAATTTTTGTTTTGTAAGAAAAGTTATATTCGGGAATATGGAAATATTTGTTTACATGATGAAAGAATGGTAATTCTTTGATCTGTTGGAATTTTTCCATCCTTTCTGACAAAATGACGCTGGTTTTAATGGTGATATTTTTTTGTGTGACATCTAAATAACAATGATCACAAATTACTCATGTCTTTTATTTCACATAGAATACACCTTTGGAGTATGAACTGAGTGTTAGTTTTGACGAAGCCGAGCCACATCACATCCTGTATCGAGGTTACAAAGCCGAGAAGATAGAGTTTCAGTTGCCTGCAGGCCGAGAGGATAGAAACCACACAGGTAAGCAGCTTTTTTTGACTGACACAGAGAGAGAGAGTGAATTATATAAATTTGTTTTCAAAGTAATATAAATGTGAATATGCAGATGTAAGAAGCATTCTTGTTATTGTGATTGGACATGGGTTTGATTGAGTTCCATCTTGGTTACCTCTTTGACATGTAATTGCTTCCCTGAATGGCTAACAGCCATATTTTACTTGGTAAAGATTCCCATATGATGAAAAGGGATATGGATAATTTTGTGAGTGGTTAAGAAAACATTGACCTATATAACTGCAGATCAAAATGAAAAGTCAAAAGATCCCAAGTGTGTCTATGTTTATAATATTTCATAAATACCCAGTCCAGTAGAGATGCAGAGTGTTAGGAACCAACTGCGTTCTGGACTCAGTTTTCTAGAGATATAAATTTTGCAAGTTTGGAAAGCTTATTTTGTACTGTAGTGTTATAAAGATGAACGTGCTGATCCTGGGGTAGCGCTAGCACTTGCCAATTTAGCCAAATGCTAAAACTGACTTAAATTGGCTTAACAAAAAGGACTTGATTTGATGAATTTTAGTCAAATTAAAACCATTTTCATAACAAATTGACAAAAAAGTGATGATTTGGCTAAGCGAAAAAAAAATTGCTAGCGCTACCCCAGTGATCCATTGCATTTGGTGTCAAAAATACAAGTGCGTGAGAGATATTTCTTCTGAGATTGTGCCAGTTGTGTCCCAAACAACAATGTGGTAGTTGTGATAAGATATGATATCATTTTTTTTCTCACCATGCTGGAAATGACATATTTATTATCATTACAATTAATCTGTTATGTTTTATCATAATCATTAACCTGTTGTCTACTGTTATTACAATTAATCTGCTTTCCTCTTATGTGACAAAAGATACATTTTCTCTTCTTAAAACAACTTGTAAGTATAATTATCTCCCATAAGTGTAATTATTCAGTTATCACCCATAGTAACACTTAATCTATAGTTTTCCATTACAACACTTCACCTGTTATTTCCCATTTTGTCCCGCCTCGAGTGAAACACCTGCATTGTTCACTGGACAATAATAGTTACAGCATAGCGATGGTCTCACTTGCGAGAGGGAGGGGTTATCGATTATCCCCTCCAAAGTATGCAACTTGACCCAATTGAAACAGATTGAGGAGAATTGGCAGATGTCCAACGGAATAGAATATCTACAATGAATATTTAATGGCGTGTTGACATTTCGAACAATGTCTTCGGCTATATATAGCCTCCATCAAGTCTTTTAATCCCCATTTAATCCCATATGAAATGTGCATCAAGATTTCTTTGGTCTTGAATGAATGTGAGGTTTAGTGATAGGCCAGATGGACATTTTCTCACTTTGCTGCACATTGGATTAAAGATTTTATGATATTAGATGTAAACATGCCCCTGAGCACCTACAATACTCTTAAGGCTCATGTTAACACGAGGATAATACGTAGAAATTTTGATGACCTTGGGTATGTAATAGTGAATTTGATATTTGCTATTGTGAATGGAAGAAAAAAATTATCTCTGAATTTTAAATCTTACTGTTCCTTGTGGTATGAAGAAGGAAATAGAATTTTAAATCATAACATTCTTTGTGGTATTAAGAACGAAATGAAATTTTGGGATTGTTATTGTTAATTTTTATTATTAATTGTTTTTTTTTTTAGAATATTTTTTCAACATATCACGGATAAAAAGAACACTAGTAATTAATGTGCTTTGGTAGAAGTTACAGTGTTAAAACAGAATTGTCAATAAAATATATTTCCACATGTTAATATCACAAAAGGTAGTAAGTGCCTTGCCATCATTATAGCATAATGGAGAATGTAGTCCATTCTGTTTTGAAGTGGTTTCATTATTGAGGGCATTTTTCAAGATGATGACCCTTATTATATTATTGAGAGTTTCGTTGTATTTGGGACACATTATTGAAAAAGCAGTTAATGGAAAATACCATCTGGGGAGACAAGGGTACAGTATTATCCAGGGAAAATCAGACATTTAGTGATATTAAATTTGCACAGAACCATGTCATTATAATCATAGTCAAAGGCGGTCAGAAGTTTACTTTGGGTATGGGTATCTAATTTTTTCTTTCGGAAGATGGTCAAAAATGGAGGTTGGATCAACAAAGATAATTTGGAAGACTGTCAGAAAATATCCCTGGATCCCTGATTCTGAACATGGTAAGCAAGGTCAACAAACTTGTGCTCCCTGGTATGGAGGGGAAGGGGGAGGGGCGTCTGGGGGTGAGGGAGGGTAAGCGTATTTGAATACAATCCCATCATGCCATGAGTGATGATGGCATTTTCCACTTCAACACCACATAAATTTCTTCGCATTTTACAACCTGTCACATCTGTGGCTTTTATTCTATTTTAAATCCTCTGCTCTTTCACCTCCAGCAATGCCAAGGTCATAACATTCTCTGATCCCTGCTGAAATAACAGACCGGCCCCTGTTTTCCGCGGGTGCTATGGCGTGCTGCTGTATTATATAAAGTCATGCGCTCGGGTTAATGACTCCATTTTGTGATGGGATAAAAATATATATGTGAACCCTGAAGAGAATGGGGGCCTTGTATTCCTACCGACTTTGGGAGGAAATTGAATTGGTTCTATAGGCAATCGTACCGCTTGCACAGGTCCTGCAGTCTCCTCGCTGTATAAACAGTTGTCATGGTAACTGATAAAAAACAGGACGCGCACCCTGGGGGTGGCTGTTTATGTAGCGAGGTTTGTTTTTAAGACGGTGAGTCACAGGGAGCGGGTTTTCATTTCAAATGTTCTTTCTTTGAACCTTAGTGTGAACTGTAGGTGTGAGGCAGATGTACTTTGGTATAATGGGTTTATTGTTGGAAAAGGTCTTTCCTTCTCCAGAACGTACCTGAGGGGATTTATAATAGGATAGAAAGGTGTCGTCGTCGCTTTATTTCTGGAAGTAGAAAAATAAGCGAGTGCCAAATTAATGGTTACTGTAATGGCTCCTCACTTGCTTTGAATATAATCAGATTTCCTTAGTGGTTTGTTGGAAAAACATAAAAAAGACAGGATAGGGAGAGGGAGTTTCTTTCAAGGCACAGTGAATGCTTTTTTGTTTTGATAAATCTTTTAAAAAGAAGATATCAAAATTGCTGAAATTGTGGCGTATTAGAATAAAAAGTGGCTGCAATTTTGTAAACTCTCTCTCTATCATGTTCATATTTGAGGGACCATTTTGGAGTATTGCAGATACAAAATTTAAGTTGCATTTATGTAGAAGGCAGTAAGTTCATTTCCTCTGCAACTTGAAACTCAAATCTAAACCAGGGAGTGCCATGTGGTGCAAGGTGTGTTTCCATTGGAACTGGGATGATCCATCCTAGTGCGATCCATCTCAGAAAACTCTTTAATTACTGTTAGCTCATCAAAGAGATCAAATGTTATTCCTGTGTTGTCCCACATGCAGGGAAGCAAATCTCTTGTTATGAAAAGCTCTGTATGGCTAACCTAACTTAATTAGAGAGCCCGTTGGGGCGGATGGTGCTGAATTAGGCTAGACTATCTCCAAATGGAAACAGGCCTTAAATAACCCACAAGCCCCCATTTGAGGACACCAATGAGAAGTCAACAAAATTCTCAGTCTTGATCACGTAATCAAACAACTTCTCCAATAGGTGACAGGGATTGCGTTAAAACTATGTGACACTCTCAATGGCAGGGTTAATTCAACCAGTTTCCATATTGATGGGAGTGATTGTTATTGATCTAAAATTGTATGGGCCAAAATGATTACCTCATTTTACAACTGGTTGAGCAGCAAACCGTAGCAGAAGTCACGTTCTGATTCTTCTGAAGCACTGAAATGTACGCTAAAATAATGAACTATGTGGCCAACCGTCTTGGGTCCTCTGACCCATAGGATTCCGTGTTGCAAGCAGCGCTGACTTAAGTCTTGGTTGATTAAGTGAATTATTAAGACGGCATGTTTAAAATCATATGGGTCAGATTGTCCGCTGAATTTATCTTTGATCACCTGTTTGGGTGTTTACTATGTACTTACACATGTAGGTGAAAATAAACAACTGCATATTATGGTTAAGAAGCAGCAAACAAGTGATTGACTTGCGTGACTGCTTTCTCAGGTTAAATTCAGGGAAAGTTTAAATACAGACAGTGCAGAGATTTACACTGAATTTAGAAAATTTGCATTCCTGACAAGTGATATGTTTAATACTTTGCTCATAGAATAATTGTACACAAAGTAAGTAAAATTACACTTTAAATGCTGGTGTGGCTCAGTTTTGTAGGACTTTGTAAACAAACAGTAGTTAAATGAAATATTTTATGCATCAAAATTGGGTATCAAGTGAGCTCTTGCGAACTTTTATTGATGGTGTTATTGCATTTTGGAAGATTTGACTCAAATCTGAAAATATTTTAGGAAAAAATGATTCAAGTTTGTGGATAAGCTAATGAAAATTAATTGATTATTAAAAAAGATAATAAAAATTGCTAACATTTCATACATTAAAAGCTTGGACTAAACATAAAAATCAAAGCTTCCTTTTTACCACAATACTTTCATTATGAATATATTATCTAAGATTGTTAAATACAGACCTTACTGATTTTGGTGACAGACCTGGGCTATGAATTTTATCATAGAACCACAAAAAGTATTGTCAGTTGTACTCAGTTGCAATGGAGTGACCTGTAATTTGAAGACAGTTTTCATTGGTGCACTTGCGGAATTCGCGTGGGATTCCCGCCACCACAAGGTAAACTACACGTAAGCAGGGGCGCATTAAATGCAGCATGCTGTTTAGAGTAAGGGTGAGGTTCCAGTCGCCTTGTGATGTCTTAATTTAGTTTTTACCATCAAGTCTTCTTATGACTTCTTACCATTGAGAGTTAGTCTCACAGCTTGTTTATTACTCATTTGAAATGGTTGTAAGAGTGATACTTATTCTACTTTATTGATAAGCTTCTTATGCTTATCTGATAAACTTCCTATACTTATAGGTATATAAGCCTCTTTAGTATTGTATTGTGTGTTGAATAAAAAAAAATAATAATAAGAGTAATAGCAGAGGACTGTCTGTTTTGGTTACAAGTTATTATGGCACCTCAGGCTTTTATCCAGTACTTTTCCAAAAGATGTGTCTTTTCGCTTAAAAAGTAGACCTTTATAATGTAAAACCTACCTGTGTTCATAAAACCTAGCTTGACAGGCCCGTAGCCAGCAATTTCAAAAGGGGGGTTCGTTTTCTGAAAAAGTGGACCTTTTCCCATGAAAACTTCATGTACCTAGATCAAATTTTACCCAGAGTGGACCTTTTCCCAGCAAAAGGGGCGGTTCTTTCGAACCCCCCGAACCCCCCCTGGCTACGGGCCTGCTTGATTTTTTTTAAACCCCCGGACCCCCCCCCCCCCACTCCCGCACTTCTGCACCTGCCATTAATTGCGGATAAATTATATACCAAGTTGATATGGCACAGTGTGTCCAAGGGTTAGAGCAGTGATCAAACTCAGTTGGTTAATAGGTTCGATTTACCTAGGAGATCAGTATAAAATTGGGACTTGAAAAAGTAAACAAAAGACATCCAGCTTCACATACCAATGAGAAGCAGCCTCTCAAACATTGCGACAATAGGCNAAAAAAAAAAAAAAAAAAAAAAAAAAAAGAGGAAAGAAAAGAAAAGAAAAATATATATAGAAGAAGTTATGGTCACAGTAACATGACTAGTAAAGTTGGAAACAAATGATAAAAGTGCAGAGAAGAAGGCAACGAAGATAAGATTGATTTGGCAGGAAAGGCCAGAAACATTGGTTTGATAAGGTAAAGTTTTTTTTTTCACTGACTTTAATATCAAACATTTGACAGGTGCTTTGAGTGACATAACAGAAAATGAAATAAAAAAGTGAAGTGAGTGCTTTAAGGGAACAAAAATAAGAAGGAGAAAAGGCTTGAAGAATTGAAAATCCAAATAATATATCCACTTTCAGGTGTATTAAGTCATGCTTTTTGAGAAACTCTGTGTGATATTTGATCAAGATATTTGCCAAATGAAAAAAGAAAATGTCACAAGAGAAATGAAAATATCATGGAATCAAATTCGGTCTCAAAGAAAATGAAAAATGAAGTGAAACTCTAGAGAGCTGTTATAACAAAAAAACAAGGAAAGGAATTCTCATTGTTTGTATTTGAAAGTGTAAGGGGAAGTGAACTCTGAAACTGGATTCCCTAACGCTCCGCTGAAATAATTACCTCACCTTTTCTGACTTAACGCACTGTTATTTCAGGTGACAAAAATAAATGGGCGCCCCTAAAAAAATGCAAGGTGCAAAATTGTCCAAGACATCCTATTAGTTTTGCATGCTTGACTGTGTGTTAGACAGATAAAAGTGAAATATGTGTCAAAACTAAAAAGGTAGGCTATTATCACAAATGGTAATCTTGTTCCCCGAATATGCAGAAACTTGGGAACTGATGAAAAGATTGATATTTTTTATGCATCTTTGTGTTTTGAACCACTATGGAAGTTTATATTATTAGACGTATTGGGCAGCCTGAATGTGGTAGACTACTTTGCTTGCCCAGTGGTTGTTAATTAAATGTTTTGACACCTGTATTTAGCCTGTGACACGTGTTGAATGAATCTTACTCTCTCTCTCTTTCTTTCTCTTTCTCTCTGTATACATATATATGCTACATCCCCAGTCCTAATCTAGTCCACTTCCTAAGTGGCCCAGACCACATCTTAATTGTGTCTTTTGTGAGCTGCCATTTGTTAGTGTGTTATTTTAATTATCTAGGTTTTGCACAGATTAAAGGAAAAGGTCTGCCCATTACTATATTGTTGGGCTTATTTTGAAAATATCTGCATTTTCTTATATTAAGGATAAGTTACATAGAAAAGTGTGAACTTATAGCAAAACTTTGGTATCATGCTAATATAACATTATTTGAGAATTTTTTATGTTGAAAATAATATCAAATACAGTTGTTCAAACCTACACAAATGATGTTTGTCCTTTCACAGTAGTTTTCAGGCAACTTTGCATCAGGTACAGTGACTGTGAAAAGGTTGATCATACATTCCAGGTGGGTTCTGCTATTAATCATCCTGAAAATCATGGGTCAACATCTGGCCCACAGCTTGGCCCAGACCACATCTATGATCCTAATATAATGGTGTCTTTGCATTGTTAACAACATAATGGGCAAGTTAATTGACCAAGTTAATTGGCCAAGCTGGCAGTTTGTTTGTGTGCCATGTGTAATTATACAGGGGACATCTTAGACCAAGTCAATTGGCCAAGTAATTTACAGGTAGGCTGCCAGTTTGTATGGCATGTGTAATTCAGGCCAGAGCCTAATGTATACCACTTCCTAAGTGGCCCAATCCACATCCCAATTAAGATGTGGCCTAGATCATGTCTCAATAGGGTCTTTGCATTGTTAACAGCATAATGGGCAAGTAAATTGGCCAGGTTAATTGGCCAAGCTGCCAGTTTGTTTGTATGGCATGTACAATTAAATAGGGGATGTCATAGATCAAGGCACATATCATGATATTACTGTACAAAGGTAGGCTATATGAGGGGAGGCCTGTGTGAAAGTCCTCATTTCCTCTATGGACAAGCTTGAAGCACCATGGCAGAGACACAGTATGAAACTTTCCATAAACTCCTGGATCAGCATTTGGCAACTATAAATGAGAGCAGGCGTCAGAAATATTTGATAACACAAGAAATGTATGAAAAGATTGTTTCTACTGTTCAAGTAAAAAGTGGTGAAAAGAGTCAGTATGGAGCAACTTTTAAGTTCTGGTGTAAGACAAACTTTAAAATAGAAGAAATTGGCCAGAGAAAAATTCTCTACTGCATAAAAACATCTCGTCCAGTGGCAACTAAAGAGGATTTGTTTGACGTTCTGGCTAATTGTCACAAGAGAGTACAACATTCTGGTAGAGATAAGACTTTTGAGGAGGTGAAGAGAAATTACTCCTGGATTCCGCGAAGAGCGGTCAGCTTTTATCTCCAGACATGCCGAGAGTGCCACAGCAAAAAAGCATCGAAGACACCACAAGCTAGCAAAACTATTATCTCCTTAGGGTATTTATCAAGACTTCAGATTGACCTTATTGACATGACTAGTATACCCGATGGCGAGTACATATGGATCCTTTATGCCAAGGATCACTTCACGAAATTCAGTTGGGCATATGCACTAACCAGCAATAGAACAGACGAGGTTGCATCAAAATTGGTTGAACAGTTCTGTTTCTTTGGCACGCCTGTGGTGCTTCAGTCTGATCATGGTCAAGAATTCACAGCTAGCGTTATAAAGGATCTGGCAGAAATGTGTCCAGGGCTCGTCGTAATGAATGATTGTCCATGCCACCCCGAAAGCCAAGGTTGCGTAGACTGTGGGGATGGAGACTTCCAGATCGAGTTAGGAAAGTGGATGGAGCAACACCAAGAGGGGTGGACAAAAGGTCTGAAGTTTGTCGTTCATGGCATCAACACCGCCATTGCTGGTGCAACTGGCAAGACACCTTTCGAGTTGGTATTTGGGCAGGCTCCCAGACATAACTTTCATCTACTTGAGACTCTACAGTCTCAGGGATTGGTCCGAGAGGAAGATGACGACTCGTGTCTCTTCTCAAGTGATGATCAGGCCACTGGATGTTCTGTTGTAAAATCTGAACCTATGTCGTCATTTGACCTGGAAGTGTGGACCTGTGCTCATACTCCACTAACAGTGCCAGAATTACCAACAGTAAAAACTGAAATGATAGTTCCAACTTCGTCATTTGACCTGGAAGTGGCGGCTGCTCATACTCCATCAACAGTGCCAGAATTACCAACAGTAAAAACTGAAATGATAGCTCCAACTTCGTCATTTGACCTGGAAGTGGCGGCTGCTCATACTCCATCAACAGTGCCAGAATTACCAACATTAAAAACTGAAATGATAGCCTCATCTGTGCCAGAGACTACAGCTGATGGGTATGATGAAGAAATACNAAAAAAAAAAAAAAAGAGGAAAGAAAAGAAAAGAAAAATATATATAGAAGTTATGGTCACAGTAACATGACTAGTAAAGTTGGAAACAAATGATAAAAGTGCAGAGAAGAAGGCAATGAAGATAAGATTGATTTGGCAGAAAAGGCCAGAAAGAAAAAGGACAAAATATTGGTTTAATGAGGTAAAGATTTTTTTTCACTAACTAAAATGTGGAACATTTGACAGGTGCTTTGAGTGACATAACAGAAAATGAAATAAAAAAGTGAAGTGAGTGCTTTAAGGGAACAAAAATAAGAAGGAGAAAAGGCTTGAAGAATTGAAAATCCAAATAATATATCCACTTTCAGGTGTATTAAGTCATGCTTTTTGAGAAACTCTGTGTGATATTTGATCAAGATATTTGCCAAATGAAAAAAGAAAATGTCACAAGAGAAATGAAAATATCATGGAATCAAATTCGGTCTCAAAGAAAATGAAAAATGAAGTGAAACTCTAGAGAGCTGTTATAACAAAAAAACAAGGAAAGGAATTCTCATTGTTTGTATTTGAAAGTGTAAGGGGAAGTGAACTCTGTAACTGGATTCCCTAACGCTCCGCTGAAATAATTACCTCACCTTTTCTGACTTAACGCACTGTTATCTCAGGTGACAAAAATAAATGGGCGCCCCCAAAAAAATGCAAGGTGCAAAATTGTCCAAGACATCCTATTAGTTTTGCATGCTTGACTGTGTGTTAGACAGATAAAACTGAAATATGTGTCAGAACTAAAAAGGTAGGCTATTATCACAAATGGTAATCTTGTTCCCCGAATATGCAGAAACTTGGGAACTGATGAAAAGATTGATATTTTTTTGCATCGTTGTGTTTTGAACCACTATGGAAGTTTATGTTATTAGACGTATTGGGCAGCCTGAATGTGGTAGACTACTTTGCTTGCCCAGTGGTTGTTAATTAAATGTTTTGACACCTGTATTTAGCCTGTGACACGTGTTGAATAGCATTAATCTTACTCTCTCTCTCTTTCTTTCTCTTTCTCTCTGTATACATATATATGCTACATCCCCAGTCCTAATCTAGTCCACTTCCTAAGTGGCCCAGACCACATCTTAATTGTGTCTTTTGTGAGCTGCCGTTTGTTAGTGTGTTATTTTAATTATCTAGGTTTTGCACAGATTATAGGAAAAGGTCTGCCCATTACTATTTTGTTGAGCTTATTTTGAAAATGTCTGCATTTTCTTAAGGATAAGTTACATAGAAAAGTGTGAACTAATAGCAAAACTTTGGTATCATGCTAAAGTATCATTATTTGAGAATTTTTTTATGTTTAAAATAATACCAAATACAGTTGTTAAAACCTACACAAATGATGTCTGTCCTTTCACAGTAGTTTTCAGGCAACTTTTTTAATCAGGTACAGTGACTGTGAAAAGGTAGATCATACATTTCAGGTAGGTTTTGCTATTGATCATCCTGAAAATCATGGGTCAACATCTGGCCCACAGCTTGGCCCAGACCACATCTATGATCCTAATATAATGGTGTCTTTGCATTGTTAACAACATAATGGGCAAGTTAATTGACCAAGTTAATTGGCCAAGCTGGCAGTTTGTTTGTGTGCCATGTGTAATTATACAGGGGACATCTTAGACCAAGTCAATTGGCCAAGTAATTTACAGGTAGGCTGCCAGTTTGTATGGCATGTGTAATTCAGGCCAGAGCCTAATGTATTCCACTTCCTAAGTGGCCCAATCCACATCCCAATTAAGATGTGGCCTAGATCACGTCTCAATAGGGTCTTTGCATTGTTAACAGCATAATGGGCAAGTTAATTGGTCAGGTTAATTGGCCAAGCTGCCAGTTTGTTTGTATGGCATGTGCTATTAAATAGGGGCTGTCATAGACCAAGGCACATATCATGATATTACTGAACAAAGGTAGGCTATATGAGGGGAGGCCTGTGTGAAAGTCCTCATTTCCTCTATGGACAAGCTTGAAGCACCATGGCAGAGACACAGTATGAAACTTTCCATAAACTCCTGGATCAGCATTTGGTAACTATAAATGAGAGCAGGCGTCAGAAATATTTGATAACACAAGAAATGTATGAAAAGATTGTTTCTACTGTACAAGTAAAAAGTGGTGAAAAGAGTCAGTATGGAGCAATTTTTAAGTTCTGGTGTAAGACCAACTTTAAAATAGAAGAAATTGGCCAGAGAAAAATCCTCTACTGCATAAAAACGTCCCGTCCAGTGGCAACTAAAGAGGATTTGTTTCACGTTCTGGCTAATTGTCACGAGAGAGTACAACATTCTGGTAGAGATAAGACTTTTGAGGAGGTGCAGAGAAATTACTCCTGGATTCCACGAAGAGCGGTCAGCTTTTATCTCCAGACATGCCCAGAGTGCCACAGCAAAAAAGCATCCAAGACACCACAAGCTAGCAAAACTATCATCTCCTTGGGGTATTTAACGAGACTTCAGATTGACCTAATAGACATGACTAGTATGCCTGATGGCGAGTATAAATGGATCCTTCATGCCCGTGATCACTTCACGAAATTCAGTTGGGCATATGCACTAACCAGCGATAGAACAGACGAGGTTGCATCAAAATTGGTTGAACAGTTCTGTTTCTTTGGCCCACCTGTGGTGCTTCAGTCAGATCATGGTCAAGAATTCACAGCTAGTGTTATAAAGGATCTGGCAGAAATGTGTCCAGGGCTCGTCATAATGAATGATTGTCCATGCCACCCCGAAAGCCAAGGTTGCGTAGACTGTGGGGATGGAGACTTCCAGATCGAGTTAGGAAAGTGGATGGAGCAACACCAAGAGGGGTGGACAAAAGGTCTGAAGTTTGTCGTTCATGGCATCAACACCTCCATTGCTGCTGAAACTGGCAAGACACCTTTCGAGTTGGTATTTGGACAGGCTCCCAGACATAACTTCCATTTACTTGAGACGCTACAGTCTCAAGGATTGGTCCGAGAGGAAGATGACGACTCCTGTCTCTTCTCAAGTGATGATCAGGCCACTGGATGTTCTGTTGTAAAATCTGAACCTATGTCGTCATTTGACCTGGAAGTGTGGACCTGTGCTCATACTCCATTAACAGTGCCAGAATTACCAACAGTAAAAACTGAAATGATAGTTCCAACTTCGTCATTTGACCTGGAAGTGGCGGCTGATCATACTCCATCAACAGTGCCAGAATTACCAACATTAAAAACTGAAATGATAGCCTCATCTGTGCCAGAGACTACAGCTGATGGGTATGATGAAGAAATGCCCCCTGCCAAACTACGCAAAATTGGAACTCCTAAGTATCTGTCTACTGCAAGTTGACAACAAGAAAGACTGACACTGCAGTACCTGTTTTGTCAATAGCAGGCTCTTTTTTGTAACTATTTTAAATAACACTCACTAATTATTTTAAACTACAAGTTGTGCAAATTTCTAAATTTTGAATCATAGAAAAAAGGTCTTTATGATGTACCATTTTCTCTGACTCAGGTATTTATAGCTAAGCTTTGTATTCTTATTTTAAAGAAACAATCCAAAGTGGATACTAAACTTTACAAACAATATAATTTGAAATAAGAAAAAAAACTTAAAAGCTTTCAGATTGATGCCGAATATTAGTATGGTATTAAAAGATATATTTGAGGCCTTATTATTTTTGAAAATGTGTTGTATTCTAATGAATCCACTTTATCAGTGTTATAGAGTGATATAAATAAAAAATATTTTATAACTTGGTTCAGTGAGTTTTTTAGCTGCTCGAAAGAAGTTCTCCTTCAAAGTGCTTGGTTACTAAATACATGTGCCTGCAAATATTACAAAGTTTTGCTGTTAATTTACTTTTTGTAATTTATCCTGAAAAATAATGCAGATATTTTCCAAAAGCTGAACAAAATATTAATGGGGAGACTTTTTATTCCTATAATCTGTACAAAAAGATAATTTACACCCCATTTCCATAGATTAGATCAACCTACTTTAGATCGACCTAACTCCCTGGGGGTTCACGCTAAATAGCTGTCAGCCGGGCAGACACGAAAGTTAATTACCCTTTTACAGCTTGTAGTAGGCGGGACGGACATTTTAGTCGGATTATCTGAAAGTAATCTAGTGAGACTCCCCGCGGGGATAGATCGATCTAAAATCTGTGGGAATAGAGCCTTAGATAACACACAAATAAAAGGAAGTTAGCCTTTTGTTTAACATTCTTTTACTAAATGTTTTACTTACTAAATTAATCTACATGCCTTTTTTTTTTAAACATTTATGCAATTATCTTTATAGGTATCGTCCTCGGATGTATTTTACAAATTACATATAATGCATACAATGGTAATATTTCATTTGCCAAGCTTGCAAGTATCATATATGTCCCTTGATCTAAGACATCCCCTATATAATTACATATGCCATACAAACAAACTGTCAGCTTGGGTAATTACTGTAACTTGGTCAATTTACTTGCCCATTATATTACATATTTATACAATATATTTAGCGAGTGACTGCTGGAATGCAGGCACAGGGTGCTGGGTCTGAAGCCATGTCCCATAGCATTATGATCACTTTATCACCCTGAAAGTCACATCTATTACCTGTGATTTGTCATTTAAAACTCATAAGCGAGGCAAATAATCTATTCTTGAAAATCATATGATATTCTACCCTATCAAATGTGATTCTTTTAACCCTTTGATGCATGTATTTTGATCCTTTTTGCCGTTCTTTGGCAAACCTTGTTCCCTCTTAAGTGATGACTGCCTGACCTCTCTCATCATTTGAGCGTTTCAAAAGTTCATACGTCGAGTTCATACAGCTTGAATGAATATCCACGTGTCACATGTTCCCTGTGTCCTCGTGTCGTTTTTGCGTGCCTGTCACCTGGACAGGCGATAGTGACACCTGTATTTGATGTCATGAAACTTGGGAGGTGACACCTGTCATTGTAACACCTGTTAAAAGAAGTGACGGGAGGTGAAGGAAAGTGCTCTTGAACTGTGCTCTCTGTTTAGTTAGAGAAGGTTATTATTATTGCAAGTTTTCACTTTTATATAAGTGAAGGATATGGTTGTATATTATGGAAGAGGTTTTTAAAGAATTAGGAAAATTACTGAAAATGTTTTTTATGCTATGGTCAGATGATGCAGACCTTGAGAGCTTTTCGCCTAAAAATATTTGGTGAACAAAATGCTATTTAAAGTAAGTTTTTTTGTGCAAATGTTTATCTTGTGGTATGGGACATAGCTTTAATTTTAAAAGATTATTTTCCCTTTTGTGTTTTGCAAATTTAAAAATTTAACAAAGAAGGGAAATTAATTTGATACATCTTGATTTGTTAGAATTTCAAAAAATTTCCTGGAGTTGCATGAAATAATTGAATTCAGATAATTTTGATAGATTGGAGAAATTTCTAACACCTTACCTATGCCAGTATTTCTATTTTGAAAGTATATCATTTGAATTACCTTTTAGTAATACATAGAAACATGCATTCTACCATGAACTCAGCTTGCCTTCAGAACTTTCAAATTATATGTAGATCTTTAATTTATTGTAAAACTTTTTTGTGTATATCGCTAACGTAACATAGTTTTTTGAATACACTTGACCAAATTTGTTCAGATTTTGTGACTTCTAAGCACTGGGGGAAACTATCTTGTGTCACTCAGTTCCACAATTCAGTATTGTGATAGTATCACTTCTACGCCTAAGTAACAAATTGGCAGTTCCCATCATGTCTTACTACACGCAACGGTTAAAGCACAAGTAACATGCATAAGCTGGGGTAGCGCTTAGCCTAGCAATTTATTTCGCTTAGCCGAATCACTACTTTTTCATTACTTATAACACAAAATGGTTTAAATTTGACTTAAACAAGTCAAATAAACCCTTTTTGTTTAACCAGGTTAATCAGTTTTAGGATTTGGTTAAACTGGCGAGCGCTAGCGCTACCCCAGATAAGCACAAGCTTTACCCATGAGTACTCAAAAATAGGGCAACTGATGCAAGACTGACTGATGCAAACTGTAGAATAGGGACGGAGGGTGGACAGGACAGTGACCCAAAATGAGGATGAATTAATATGGGTACTTACTAAATACACCAGTTACTCAGGTACTTATAGCACCAGGTAAGGGTATTCACAGTGGTAAGTGTATCTATGGGTGAGGGTCAATTTGTCATTGTGATTTGACATTTTCCTATTGTCACTGGTCTCCAGGTCCAGCCAGCCGTCCCCTGTGGCAGGTGCATATGTGATCAATTGAGATTGATGGTAGGAGGTTTCTTTTTTTTCGAGATGTGGATGGAAGAACATGCTTCTGCATCTGAGTTTAAAAACCTTCATTCATATTAGAACAGTTACTACATTTGTAGTGGACATGAGATTAAAAACCTTGCATCCTCAGACGATCAGATTGCAAAGTAGTTTTGTAAAGTTGGTAATCTATTTGCCTAGATGTTGCTAGTTAAAGGGCTTTTATGGTTGGAGATTGTTTTGTTGTGATCAACACTTTGTGTTTACTCATCTTTTTTGTATGATTTCTTGTCGTGTTTTATGAAACATTTACTACTGCATCATTTACTACAGTAACTATAACATTTAGTTTCGATTCAAGACTTTTGGATTCTTTAATTTTTGTTTTATTTCGACTTTTCGGTACTTTGGTCTATGAAACACGTGATAAGTAAACATGATAATAATCACGTATGAAACTGAAACGAAATGCAAGTATTTTTTTGTGCAGGGATAGGAAAATAAACCTAGCAATTACTTTAAAACAGACCTAATAACATCATTCCAGCAGTGTAAGCTAATGCCTGTTATATTTTAAATGATAGATCAGAACAACATATTCTGACAGATTTCATGTTGTTAGGCTAAGTGCATTATTTATAGAATGTGATATTTTGTTTGAAATTTGTGTGCCTTTTATAGTCTGTTGAATAATTTAATGCCAGAATTGCGTGCAGAGTACCAAAGCAATAAATCATATTCTTAACATTGGATCTTCTTGTCGTATCTCTCTGACGTGATCTGTTTGCGTTGGGATAGGGGTGGGGAGTTGAGGTAGATAGGACAAACGTGTCTTGCAGAGACGAGGAGTTAAGATGGTCCGGATTTGATGAAATTTATGTTAACCACTTCATGGTGCATTCTTTATTAAATTGATTCAGGTTATTTAGAGTTTAGTTGGAATCTGGTATAATCGCCTGATGTGAAAGCTTGAAAAAAGTTTCAAAGGAGATATTGTAAAAATATTGGAGAAAGTGTGATATATAGAAGTCAACTTGCATTTTGCTGGTTAATTTGATGTCTCCCTAGGGATCTCTCTCTCTCTCTCTCTCTCTCTCTCTCTCTCTCTCTCTCTCTCTCTCTCTCTCAGAGTTTGCACCATATTATGGCAGATGACAGCGGTCAGACAGTCAACTACAGAAAAAAAAGTTCTACTACTTTTTTTTATAATTTGTTTATGTAATTCCTCATTCCTCCAGCTCTCCCCATTTCTCCTGTCTTTCAAATAATAAAAATTTATTCAATTATTTCAAATTACTAGATGATTCATTCTGAATGCGGCTAGGTTTGGAATTCACAAAATATTTTTCACAAAATTGACAGTCATTTCTATTCACACAGCTGAATTTGTGTCTCTTTAACTTATCTTTAGCTCGGGGCCTTATGACACATAATATATGTCTTTTTTTTGTGTGTATGTAATTTAATTCTTGTAATAACATATCAACAACCACCGAGAACAAGCTAGGGGGGGCCCTGTACCTTGGGTGTTTGTGTGTCGTAGTCATAGTTTCCATAATATGTGTAATACCAGCTGAATGCTGGGATACTCGGGAGATGTATCTGAGAGGCGTAAATGCTTGGCAGTGACAACGAGTGAACGTGTTGTAAGTGAGATAAGGGGGTATGCCACAAGTGAACATTTGAGTGACGACAGTGATGTCTAAATTTGGTGTAATATTTGCACAATTTTTGCATGCCCCATTATTTTTGCTGTTATATACTAAAGTAAGCTGCAGTATGGAAAGAAATTAACAGGAATTAAGAATAAATATACATATTTATGACAGTTATGCAAATATTACACAAAAATTGCGTTACTGACTAGACTCAAATGATCACTTTTTTGTGTAACGACCCAAGAAGTAGCTTCTAAATGATAATACCTCTTTGAAGATCTGTAACTGTTTGTTTTTCTAACTAATCATTGTATTTTAATTGAAACACTTAATTAGGAATGAAAGTAATGTAAGTTTAGAAAAAAAAATGTGTACACGTTATATTTTTTCTGGACGTTTGTTTCTCTTTCTGGTTGGTCGGTTGCATTCATATCTGTGGAAACAAAACAGTGGTAAAATAAGGAACTGACATGTAATGATGGATACGATCACTCCTTTATACATTGATTTTTACCTGCCCGCTGAACCGGAACTCATGTAGTGTGTACAGATATCCTAATAGGCAGATGTTATGCTGAATAGACTTAACATTTTTGTTGTGGAGACCACACAAATCAACATATTCCACTAGAAGCGGCTGAGATAAATTATTCCGTTTTGATTGGGGAACTTAATCTCATGGTAACATCGAAGGGTTGTCACATGTCAAAGCCGTCAGTTTTTTTCCCCGTGTTCATTTGGTTATTACATCTATAATTTGTTAATACTGGAATTACACTTTATAACAAAACATATATATATATATTTTTAAAATCTGGAAAATGATCTATAATAAAGTGGATTGGCACCTCTTAAAATACTTATTCAGTTTTATTTAATTTTGCTGAAAAAAAAAAAAAACGAACTGAATAATTAATGGTATATGACTAGAAGGTAAAGTTACTGCATAGGGGAACCCTTCTTGGGTGAGTTTAATACACTTCAGTTTATATTGGAAGAGAGAAATGTAAACCCATTTCCAGTTAAGAAGAGGTGTTTGATATAAACAATTCCTAAAACATTTAGTGCGCTAAAAATTTGCCTACTGGTGAAAAGAAAAGTACACCAATGCAAGCTAGGCAGGGCGCAGGAAAATGAGACCAATTTAAACTAACTGGTATGAGAAAGGGTGGTGTCTTTATCAGTGCAATTGCTATGCTCTGGCTCTTCAATATAGACAGAAGAAAGGTAAGGACTGGGTTGATATAGGATAAACACAAAAAAATGTCACTTGAGGACTAAAACTGCTAGACGAGAAATTCATTGTAAGCAGCTTAAGAATTACAGAGAGGTCCTACTCTCTTTCAGACTATTCGATGTTTTATCAGTTCGTTCAACTGCTGTTGCTGTATTTTAGGTCAATTTCCAGTTGAAGTTGCCTGGTCTGATTAAGGAGATAATGGCCTCTTTCTTATAATAGATATGATCATAAATCCTGCCTTTCACAATGCATGTCGAGCTTAAATTGAGCTGGAATTGTAAACCTATTTGGCATACTTGATGATAATCACCGTCGTGTTTAATAGATGTATGGATTTGTAGTTCTATTCAAAAGACAACTGGATATATAGAGACAGGAATGTTAGTGAACTCCACGGCGATTGTCCTGGGTCGTGAGTGGGTGGGATTGAATAGAAATGTTGTAGATGAAGGGAAAAAAACTGACGGAGCTTCAAGGAAAGAGGTAGAAGACGTTGATGGATGATGGAGCGAAAACTGCTCTGTAGGGTAAGAATGGGCGGTTTGTTTAGACTGCAGACTGTGTGTGTGTGAGGAGAGAAAGGTGTGGAATTAAGGAAGGTTGAAGAAAGAAAGATGGAGAGAGAGAGAGAGAGAGAGACAGACAGGAGGAACAAGTGTGTTATTGAGGGATTGAACAAGGGAGTGAAAAAATTGGGCAAAAGCATATTGACTGATACTGGAAAAATGACACACTTATGATATGCAGAAATATGGTAAACAATGTGCAAGCCATTAGAACCAAAATATGCAGTGAATGTTTGAATAAAACAAAAGTTGAGATAGATGTCCTTTATATGGTGGGAATAAGACTTAGAAAAAAATTAGATATGTACACTGACCTATTAAATTGTGCTTTATTCTTCCAGTTTTGATCCATCTGTCCATCCTTGATCGCCATGGCTCCCGTACGACAGTTTGCTCTGAGCCAGTCCAAGTCCTACCGAGGAATGTCAGCGAGAACTCAACCCTTCAGAAAGATCTGTAAGTATCAATGTCTTTTATCTTATTTATCGAAAAATTGACTCAGAGATGAGACTTTAGCCTGAAAATTGAGCTTAACTTTTTAAGGTCAAGAATTTGGTCTGCTTTTATTTCTCATTTTATTCATTATTCCACTTAGATATAAAGTAATTATAGGTCTGAAACATGAAACCAAGTATTTTTGCTGAAAAACAGGTTCAGTATTAAATTTGATTGCATGGACAATCATTGGTTTGTTTGGGGGTCAGATTGGAGTGAAATTTTGATCTCAAAAAGTTTAGAGCAATTAACGGGCTTAAGTGAAACAGGCCCCAGGTCCTGGTTCCTTTGCTAAGAACTTTATTACCAAGGTTACATGGTCACATGGGCACATCTTACCCTATCAGGAGCCGTGCAACAGCACTGTCATGGAAATTCTAGTCAACTAAGCTGATGAACTGACTTAAGTTTTTTTGTCAAACTGGGGCCAGTTCACATTGCAGATAGGTCCACCCTTCTCAGTTTGACCATTCTTTTAAGTTTTGACTGATGAAGCTGAAGCTGAGCACACAACAAAGTTGACTATATCTTCTATAAATTTGTTAAACAGAGAGCTGCTGCTTACTGGTATTACTATTTACTGGTTTACTAGGTGGGGTTACTGGTATTTGGTATTGAGTTTACCATAACCATACTAGCTTTTATGAGGATTTCAGAAGAACCAACTTGTCCTCAGTTAGAGCTGTTGGTTCAGTTCAAGCCCTCTTCAGGTCACAGTCTCTCGAAATTTAAAGGGTCTCAAGGGCATGGGCAAGCTTCTGTTGTTTCTGATTGTTGTTTCTTAGCTGTATTCCATGCCACTGCTGGCATACAGTACTTGTAACATTGGATGTTGTTTGCTACCCCCCCCCCCAAACCCCCCTCCTCCTTGTATCAAAATATATGAATTGAGTTTCTGCATGCTTAAAGTGACTTACTTTCCCCCTCTTTCCTTGTATAAATGATTCCAAGATAATTTGAAAGTATACATATATACATATATATTTAAACAGTATCACTTATCATAAAAATGCCATTATATCTCTACTAAGATTTATTGCTGTGGCATTATAGTCTTGTATGGAGTATGTTTTTGAACTTAGTACAGCAGTCCATGCATTGCTAGTGCCCTGTTCTTATTAGTTTGAAATTCACAAAACAAGTGGGAGCTTTAATAAATACAGGCCTGTTGATTTGGTTAATTGCGCTACCCATGGCTGTTTGTCCGTTGGGTCTGTATGTATGCTCTCCTGATTGGATGGTACGAGGTATAGTTTTCCCTGTTAGACGTGCAAACAGAGGATTGTATAGGCTTACTGTATCGCAGGCAGTAACTGTAAACACGAGGGCCTTCTCGGAGCCTTTGATAGGGACTCGCTCGGCTTATGTTTTTAGTGACACCGTGACCGAGGTTAACGACAGGTTATTGTAGGGACTCTGTAATATTTAACTTCACAAAATTGCTCTTTTGGATTTAATTGTTTTCATTTTAACTGTTATGTTTATTCATAGTGGAACAAGCATGATGAATCACTTTCTGTTTATGTCTTTGTGTATCTGTATTCTTTTTACATTCTACCTTAAATTGCACCACTCCCTTAAAAGTATTCTCTCACTGAAGATACAAAATAAAAAGTATATGGCCCAATTTTTCAAATGTATTATAAACCTCTCTGTTATTTTTGTTACCTCCATGATTATGATGTGCTAAAAAGGAAAAAGCACAGATTTTCTGACACATATCCTAGAAGGGGTATCTCCCCCCCCCTCCCCCCCCCCAACCTCCAAACAAGCCCCTTTTACCACAGACGAGCTCTGTACAGAAATGCCCAAATTGCCCCCTCTCTAATTCCAACCTCTTCCCACCCTAGTTCACCCCCCACCCTCTATACTGTCCTCGACTCCCCCCTTCTTCCTTTTGTCGTCAACATTTTGTTTACAAACACCTCCTTGGCAACAGCACACGTGCAAACATCCCTTTGTTTCGATTCCTAAATGCACAGACAGGATGAATAGTTAGCTAGGTTAGAAAGGCGCGAATTTACTTCTTATACCTCAGTGGCGATGTCTGCGATGGAGAATTAAATAATGGGAGAAATGAAGTTCGGTTGTAAGGGTAATGGTGGTGCTTTTTTAGATTGATGCGTTATTTAGTGACTTGTTCCAGTATATTTATCTATTCAGTATTTGTGAATTTCAGTCTGTCAGAAAATATGTTCAGGGTGATATATAACCCAGACTTGCTTTTCGGTAATATTTGATAATGCAGTTCAGATATGGCTGAAAAGTTGATGTTTAACCATTAATGTTTAAGGTTGGTGGATAATTTAGGAAATATTTATAGATATTTGAGATCTGTTGGTAGCAGTTACATGTCATGTGGTTATATATAAAAACAGGAATTATATATCTGAGATAAAAAAAATAGTTTTAGAGATAAGATGAATTATTTTATTTAAGCATAGTTCTTAATATAAATTTTGATTTCTTCCATTTGAAAATTGGATGCTTGAAGCCAAACAGAAAGTAGGCTATTTCAGTTGCAGCTAAGCATGAAGTTAGTGTTTGTATTGTAAGGTTTTCTAAATTTGCTTTCAATGCCTTACAAGTAGCTTTAAACAAGATTATGCTGTTTTGAGGTGTGGATTAACTTTTTTCTTTGCGAGTGATTTATTGGGTTAGAAGTGATTTTATGAAACTTGTTTTTTTTTTATAACACACGCACACACACACACACACACACACACACACACAGGTGCATCTGCATATGTTCATGCATGCACACACAACACATACACAAGTACATGCAAAGTACCACATGTGTTATCTACACAGCATCACTCTGTATCACTTTTACGAAAATGTGCATTCTCACATGCACACATTTTCATTTCAGCATACCAGTGACCCCAAATCACCTACCATTGTCACATCAATTAAACTGGGGAAAAAGAACACAGAGAATAGACTCACCTGTATTGTAGATAGTTATATCCTGTTGCCATGGCAATGGCCAAATATTTTTATGTTTGATGATAATTGATTGTGTATAATATTTCTATAATGGATTAGATAGGAAGAATGAGTGTCCTTTGATGATAGCTGGTTTTCTTCTCTTTTCATAAAAAAAATATAAATTTTGTATAACAAAAGCAGTATTCTGTCATCATTCATAGCTACTGGTATACATCTAAAATGGAACTTCTAAGGTGCAAATTTATTCAGCTGGGGTTGAATATTTTGTTTATAGTTTGGTTTCTGATATTTGCCCACTGCATAGAGTTCGAGGCCCAGTTGTGCCATAAAAAAATCACTTTCATCCTTGGTTTAATATATATATATCGAGAGATGTTTTGGTTGACTGGTTTCTAGCTTTTATGGTGAGGTGACTAGGTAAAACTTTTGATGATATTTTATGCGGTATCATTCAACTTGAGTATCTATTTTGGATCTGTTTGTTTAATTTTTTTTTCAGTCTGTATAGTGCCTTTGTATCAAAAAACCCCACTATTAGGGTTGACCTGGTTGTTAATCAAAGTTTGAAATTTGCTTATTTCGTTTTGTTGCGTAATGTGACTCATCATTCTCAGTACTATTTGTTATGAATGATGGGTGTTGGCTAAAATGCAGAATAAATTTTTCATTCAAAGAATAATATTTATGGAGGAAAATTTCATAAAGTACTTCAGGTTGAACTGTTTTTTTTTATCTTCTCATTAAAAAAAAAGAAAAATAAATAATAGTAATAAATAATATATTTTATATGATAATTACATTATACCTTTAAATGACATGTATCTTAGATTGAAGATGATTGAGAAGCTTCAAACATATTCAGGTTGAGCATGATTTTACATGTATGTAAGATGTATATGATTTTCAAGAGCAGATTGAGGCCGTCTTCTGGGCCTTTCAAAAGACGGTCAGATTTTCAAGTTTACATTAACGGGTATCTAATTTTTTTCTGTCAGAAGTTGGTCAAAAATGGAAGATGGATAAACAAAGATAATTTGGAAGACTGTCAGAAAATAACTCTAGGTCCGCCCCAGATTTTGCTGAAGTCATCCAAAATTCCATCGCTCTCTACTGTATTCCTTCAAGGTATCAGTCTACAACTAAAATATTATAATTGTAATATGAGGGGTCACTACATAACTCTCCGTTTCAAATTTTCTAACGGGTAAACTGAATTACATCAGTAAACACTCCGTTTTGAAATCAGAATTAGATTACAGTGTACTCTATGTAGAATAGGTGGCTAAAATTACGCCCATGAAATTTCCATCTGTTTTTCCGGAGAGTGAACCCATTGTGCTCAGTTTGTGTGCATATTTGCTACCTGTGATCGAGTTAGAACTTTACAAATACTCCAGAAAGTAGACTAACTTTTGACCTGTAGTGTTTGAAATCGAGAGAAATGATTATACAAACAAAACAACGGTCAGAGTTGAGCTGGCCCAATGCAACAGCGCATTAACGGTACAATGCCAGACGATGGGCAAACATTAAAGAAACAACCAGGCTGTTTTTATTACGCTGCGGGTTTCTTGTTCTTTTCCATTTCATTTGAGCAAGCCTCTGGATATATATGTAAGTGATAACTGAAGAATAAGAATGTTTTATTACAGAAAGCTGCCACATATATGGTGTGTTTGTATGGCACAAATTTGCTTTTGCATTAAAAATGCCTAAAACATTTTAAAGAAACTAGTTGAGAAAGGAGAAAAGATGGTTTGAAATAAAAAGAAAATGGGGGTAGAGAATCATGTTTTTTTTACAAGTTGACTTGTATTTTAACTTTAGGATAGGTATGAGGACTGAACTGAGGTTAATGACCCTATGACAAATTTTTGCCAACTCTGCATTTCTTGTAATGTGACCTTTTACTGTTTATCATACAGAGGACAATATACCTTGGAAAAAAAGAAAGAAAAAGAATCAGTGGTCATACAGGGCATAAAATAAACAAATAACTCTTAAAC